TATTTATCATCATCAGTCATTTAGGACAACATTGGATCATTCAAAGATCCTCACTGAACTTCTGGAGTGAGTTTGCTGCACTGAAAGTAAAGGGGCCGAATAATATTGCACGCCCCACTTTTCAGTTTTTTATTTATTAAAAAAGTTTAAATTATCCCATACATTTTGTTCCACTTCACGATTGTGTCCCACTTGTTAATTTATGACAAAAAATTAACATTTTATATCTTTATGTTTGAAGCCTGAAATGTGGCGAAATGTTGAAAGGTTCAAGGGGGCCGAATACTTTCGCAAGGCACTGTAGTTATTAACTGTAGTCTTGTCTTTACTGCACTTGACTGCACTTCACTGCATGTGAGATTGACAGCTCGGCAGTCAGTGTATCGAACATTTGTGGTGAAGAGGGTGCAGTGTATGCAGACTGAACTTTACTGGTATGTTTCCATCCTCACCTATGGTCATGAGCTTTGGGTAATGAAAGAAAGGATGAAATTGTGGATACAAGCGGTTCAAATGAGCTTCCGCCGCTGAGTGGCTGGGCACTTTACGGATTAAGAGAGATAGGAAGAGGAGCTCAATCAAACAGGAAGAGCTTGGGTTAGAGTCGATCGAGAAGAGCCAGATAAGATAAGAATTCCTTTATTCGTCCCACAGTGGGGAAATTTCGATCTTGCTTCACACATATAGGACAGTAGTAAGAACACACAGGGAGCACACACAATATATACACTATATACAAATAAGTAGTAGCTATGTTTCATAACTAACATAACTAGCTGTAGATGCTGAAAATGCTTCAATACCAGTCAAAAAAAATATATATGTAGTAGTGCAGTTATATACTGTACAGTTAAATAGTGCAGGATAAAAAGTATATAAGTAAAGTGACATAAGGTAAAGTGACATTGTTCTGTGACATCCTGAAGTTGCAGTATTGGACATTTCACATGATTTAAGAATTTACTTAATTACAGATGAATGAAATTTACAGGCTCAGCAGTTCTTATTGTACAGTCTGACAGCAGCAGGAAGGAAAGACCTACGGAACCTCTCCTTCACACAGCGAAGGTGAATTAGTCTGTCACTGAAACTGCTCTCCAGAGCAGAGAGAGTGTCCTGCAGGGGGTGACAGTCATGGTCCAGCATAGATGTTAGTTTGCTCAGGACCCTCCTGTCCCCCACCTGCTTCACTGTGTCCAAGGAACAGCCCAGGACTGAGCTGGACTTCCTGATGACTTTGTCCAGCTTCTTCCTGTCCCTCTCTGTGATGCGGCTGTTCCAGCAGACCACACCGTACAAGATGGCTGATGCCACCACAGAGTCATAGAAGGTCTTCAGGAGTGGCCCCTGCACTCCAAAAGACCTAAGCCTCCTCAGTAGGTAGAGGCGACTCTGGCCCTTCTTGAAGAGGGCGTCTGTGTTATGAGTCCAGTCCAGTTTGTGGTTAAGATGAACACCCAGGTACTTGTAAGAGTCCACTCAGATTGGAGTGGCTCGGGCATTTGTTTTGGATGCTTCCCTGAGGAGATGTTTGGGGCTTGACCCGCTTAGACCCTGGGAAGACCCAAGAAACGTTGCAGGGACTATGTCTCTCAGCTGGCCTGGGAACACTTCGGAATTCCTCTTAATGAGCTTGAGGATGTGTGTGTGGATTTGGAAGCCTGAGCGTCTCTGCTTAGACTACTGTCAGTACGACCCGGCAATAGATAAAGTAGAAGTAATGAATGGACAGATGGACAGAATATACATGTTATACAATACAATTTATTCTTGTATAGCCCTAAGTCACAACAGAAGTCATCTCAGAGGACTCAACAAAACCATTGAAATCACCAACACAGGTCAGAGAATCAACAGTTAAAACACATGAAGAATATAAAGCACACACAGAAGAAAATGTCCATACATGTTGTAGAATGCTAACGTGTCCTGATCATCACCAATCCTTTCTGTTGGACACTAACTGTCCAACAAGACCCTCCTGCATCGATAAGGAAAAACTCTTAAAAAACCCAGTGGGAAAAAGTGAGAAACCTTGGGGAGACCTAGGGAAACCCACAGGGAGGGAGACCCATTTGAGAAAGGGATCCGCTCCTCCGGACGGACAGGCTAATGATGTAGGACCTAAGCTAGCTACAGGACGTGGACCAGTGGCCGCTGAACGTGGACAGGTCCGGCGCAAGACTGAAGCACTCCCAGGCGGGTCGGGCAGGGCAGTCCGCAGGTGTAGATGGAGGAGGCCTGGCTCAGAGGTCCCGTCATCGTACCATGAAACAGACAATGGGACTACGGGTGAATAGCAATGAACAAACTACAGTCAAAATCCTAATAATGCTAAACAGGTAAAGTAGGAAGGAGGAAAGGATAGTGCTCAAGTTACCATACTTCTCCCAGCAAACTGACTCCCTATATTATGATAACTTTCTTGTCACTTTTATAGATGCATTACTTCTATAATGTTGCAAAATACATTTTTGGCTGTATAAAGATAAGCAGATCATATTAGTACAGTATACATAGTTCCCACATGACGTCACTACATACGGGGATTTGCCGACCCGGCGCCATTTGTCTTGGCATGCTGTGGGCAAAACAATAGAAAAAGAAGCTGAAACGTGTTAATGTCGTGATAAAGTTGAAAATGGTCATCTCCTGCTGGGTCAATGGATGTTCAAATCGTGCCGGAGGTTCCGTTAAACTTGGATTTTACAGTATACCCATCATTAGACTTCATGAATGTGAGAAGACTAAGCTTTTGTCAGAACAACCACGGAGGTTATGGCTTGCGAAGATAAACAGGCAAGAAACTCCCTCAAAACACGCAAGAATATGCTCGGAGCACTTTGTGTCAGGTGCGTATCGTATCTTATAATGTGTTGACAGACGTAATTTACTCAGTACTAACTTGTGTATGCTGATATCTGGTAACTTGAGAGTTTCATTATTTAGATTACTTTATTATGAGGAGGATCGGTGTCGCGTCCGAGGCTCTCGAGGGCAACGTAAATGTATTAAATAGATAATAATAGTTCTACGGTGGGCTAAAACAATGTTCACAAACAGCATTGCTTCTGTAAAAAGATCTGTGTCATAAAATAAACTGCTCTTTACGCCTGGAAAAATCAGTTGCCCACCATTCACCAAAACATACGGTCAAAAACGCGGAAATAAACAATAACAGCAATCCAGAGTGTCCGTGTGGCATTAGCATTAATTAAATTAATTGTTAATATAATTAAAAGAATTAAATGGAGCTCCAACTGGTATTAAATCTAAAGTTTTTGAGAAATGTTTGCATTGCTTGTTAATTTTTGCTGCATAATTTGATCAAATATGTAAAACATGTCCGTAGCACGTTAAACTGTGGTGCCATTGTATTAATATACAATTATTTGCTCAAAAGTTGCCCTTTTTTTCCAATTTGCGTTTGAATATCTACATTTATTCTCATTCTTCTGTTTAATGGAATGCACAAACACAGCAGCGTGCCATCAAAGATGGCGTCTCCGAGGAGATCATGTGACATTCATTGGTCTGTGGGAACTATGTATACATAGTTCCCACATGACGTCACTACATACGGGGATTTGCCGACCCGGCGACATTTGTGTTGGCATTCTGTGGGCAAAACAATAGAAAAAGAAGCTGAAACGTGTTAATGTCGTGATAAAGTTGAAAATGGTCATCTCCTGCTGGGTCAATGGATGTTCAAATCGTGCCGGAGGTTCCGTTAAACTTGGATTTTACAGTATACCCATCATTAGACTTCATGAATGTGAGAAGACTAAGCTTTTGTCAGAACAACCACGGAGGTTATGGCTTGCGAAGATAAACAGGCAAGAAACTCCCTCAAAACACGCAAGAATATGCTCGGAGCACTTTGTGTCAGGTGCGTATCGTATCTCATAATGTGTTGACAGACGTAATTTACTCAGTACTAACTTGTGTATGCTGATACCTGGTAACTTGAGAGTTTCATTATTTAGCGTTAGATTACTTTATTATGAGGAGGATCGGTGTCGCGTCCGAGGCTCTCGAGGGCAACGTAAATGTATTAAATAGATAATAATAGTTCTACGGTGGGCTAAAACAATGTTCACAAACAGCATTGCTTCTGTAAAAAGATCTGTGTCATAAAATAAACTGCTCTTTACGCCTGGAAAAATCAGTTGCCCACCATTCACCAAAACATACGGTCAAAAACGCGGAAATAAACAATAACAGCAATCCAGAGTGTCCGTGTGGCATTAGCATTAATTAAATTAATTGTTAAAATAATTAAAATAATTAAATGGAGCTCCAACTGGTATTAAATCTAAAGTTTTTGAGAAATGTTTGCATTGCTTGTTAATTTTTGCTGCATAATTTGATCAAATATGTAAAACATGTCCGTAGCACGTTAAACTGTGGTGCCATTGTATTAATATACAATTATTTGCTCAAAAGTTGCCCTTTTTTTTCCAATTTGCGTTTGAATATCTACATTTATTCTCATTCTTCTGTTTAATGGAATGCACAAACACAGCAGCGTGCCATCAAAGATGGCGTCTCCGAGGAGGTCATGTGACATTCATTGGTCTGTGGGAACTATGTATAGACCGGAGACAACCCACTCACTGTTCATCAATGTTTTCAATGTTATATTTTGTTATAGATAAATAAAAACATATAAGGTAAAACATCTACATTACATTGAATAATGGAATGATTTAATAAAAAATACAAAAAATACAAAAAACAAGCAAATGGATTTCAACACACACTTTGCCTCTTTAATCGAAAATAAAATGGAATATATACATACCTTACTATTTTTCTTTTTCTTTTCATTTGAAATATGAAGGGGTTGTGTTTTGCATCCAGGATACCAGCTAAACGTAGTAATACTACTTATTGGGTTTTGCGCAATGTTTTTATTTGTCAGTTTTTTGTTTCTCTGAGGCTTCCGTACTCCTCCGTGGTAGCAAAACATACCCACGTCTAGCTAGCACGTTTCAATCATGGATGAGTATTCTCGTGTCAAATCTACAAAACTAGTTTTAAAAGGACAGAACAGGGGGTGAGTTATGTCGTTATCCCGCATGTGTGATGTATTTTAACTGGATATACAGGTTCATTGTTTAATTGTGAACGTAATGCTAACACAAATATGCTAACTAGCATGTAGCCTATCATTTTATCGGATTTATTTACTATCGGATTTTGTTACCTATGATAGGCTGATCATGCGCTGTATGTATGTGGGCTATATCTGAAGCAAAGAAGCTTTGAATGGTTACTTTAAAGATTTTAAATGTTAATTATTGTTTCAAATCGTAAAAGTTTGATTTAGCCATAACTGTAAACACGAAATTGTATATCCATATTAATTTAAAATACATTTTGCATTCATAAAAAGTAATGTATACAAAAACAAATCTACGTGTGTGGTTCAATGTGTGCACGTATACAGGGCCAACCTCCTTGCAAAATCACCAATCCTTAGGAAACCACGGATATGCAGAGGTGAAAAGGTTACTTCTATAGTTGATAATAGTAATGGTATAGATAATTGCAGAATAAATAACTCTGGTAAGCATTGAAGTATTTGATATTGTGCGTTATACTGATATGGAATAAACAAAATAAAACATGACAGAGACAAATGTGGTTCTATATTGCACACTGTGACAATATCTTTATCATAAGTTAAAGATATTGCACTGATGTGAGGTCTGGTCGGCAGCGTTTGTTTGTCCTCATTGTTCCTTGTGCAGCCTGACAGCAGCAGACTGTGCACATACAAACTATCTTTACTAATATAGTATCTCTTTTTACAATGATTTGTGTTCACATTTTACACAGAAAGAAGAGAAAGAACAAGGATAAGAAAAGAAAAGCAGAAGACGGCGCAGACAAACTGGATATTGTTGGTGTGTAACGTTCTGCACTTGTAAGGCAACCGTACTCACAAACAATTACAATTAATTGGAATAGGTTTTTTATATCTACCCACAGTCACTTTAGTATTTTTAGGTACTTCCCACCTATGTTGTAATGCTCCTATTAGCGTGAGTGTAATCTACCAGTAATATAGACAATAGTGTTCACAATGGTGCATTTGTGCCCTGTATTTGAAGAGCTGCTCTGCTGATTTTAACAAGTCATATTAACAGAAAGTTCATTTGCTCTTTAGGTGGCTGGTGGGCAGTCAAGCGATTTGGGGAAATCACTGGGACAATTGCCATAGAAATGGAGAATAATTCTTACGTTCATGCACTCGACACAGGACTCTTCACACTTGGAGCGCCACACCCAGGTACATGTCTTTATTATCTGCATGAAAAGGGTGAAGCTACAGTGTAATTCAAAGTTCTGTTTTTCAATCATGTACAGTGTTGTTGACTTTTTTTCACTGAAATATTTTGAATAACCATAACCCAAATAATTCATTTAATGCATCTAATTGATTCCTGCTTTCCATTGGAAGATTCAAAAGAGAATGCCATACAGTACAGACCAAAAGTTTGGACACACCTTCTCATTCAATGAGTTTCCTTTCTTTTCATGACTATTGACATTGTAGATTCACACTGAAGGCATCAAAACGATGAATTAACAAATTAATTAACAAAGTGTAAAACAACTGAAAATATGTCTTATATTCTCGGTTCTTCAAAGTAGCACCTTTTGCTCTGATTACTGCTTCACACACTCTTGGCATTCTCTTGATGAGCTTCAAGAGGTAAGTGACCTGAAATGGTTTTCCCTTCACAGTTGTGCCCTGTCAGGTTTAGTAAGTGGGATTTATTGCCTTATAAATGGGGTTGGGACCATCAGTTGTGTTGTGCAGAAGTCAGATGGATACACAGCTGTTAGTCCTACTGAATAGACTTTTAGAATTTGTATTATGTTAAGAAAAAAACAGCTAAGTAAAGAAAAATGAGTGGCCACCATTGCTTTAAGAAATTAAGGTCAGTCTGTCCAAAAAAATTGGAAAACTTTGAAAGTATATCCTCAAGTGCAGTCACAAAAACCATCAAGCGCTACAAATAAACTGGCTCACATTAGGGCTGCCCAAGGAAAGGAAGACCAAGAGTCACCTCTGCTGTGTAAGGGCTATTTGACCAAGAAGGAGAATGATGGGGTGATGCGCCAGATGATCTGGCCTCCACAGTCACCGGACCTCATGAGCTGGACCGCCGAGTGAAGGCAAAAGGGCCAACAAGTGCTAAGCATCTCTGGGAACTCCTTCAAAACTGTTGGAAGACCATTTCAGGTCACTGTCTCTTGAAGCTCATCAAGAGCCAAGAGTGTGCAAAGCAGTTTTCAGAGCAAAAGGTGCAACTTTGAAGAACCGAGAATATAAGACATATTTTCAGTTGTTTCATACCTTTTAGTACGTACATAATTCCACATGAGTTAATTCATATTATTGATGCATTCAGTCATATGAAAATAAAGAAAACTCTTTGAATGAGGTGTGTCCAAACTTTTGGTCTGTACTGTATGTGGTGCCCAGAAAACCCAATTATTGATTTTGATGAATTAGTTTTTTTTTTGTTTTTTTTTTTACATAACCAAATATTTGGTTTATTTGACAAGCGCAGTGTACAATATTCCACATTTCTGTAAAAGTACCAGAAGTAACCAAAAGGTTCTTTATAATATGTAGTTTAATCAGGGCAGATGTTAGACTTGTCACTCTGGCCCTGTCCACACGTAGCCAAGTATCTGCTAAATCGCAGATATTTTTTCTTTGTTTGCAGAAGTCATCTACATGACAACGCATCGTAAACGAATATATAAAAAAACTCCAGGCAAAGTGGAGATTTTTGAAAACTCCGTTCATGCAGTTGCGTGTAGACAGAGATAACCGGAGTTTTGCGTTTTCGCAAGTCACAGTATGCTCTCAAACAACAACAAACAAAACGTGTGACCTCTGATCACTGAAGAAGCATGGATCTTACTGCCTTAAATACTGTCCGCTGCTGCAGCTGTTCACAGCAGCGAACATCCTCCACATCAGAGAGCAGCAAAGTGATCACCGGGACTTGCGCTCAAAAACAACCAAAACAGGAGCTAAACCAGGATTAAACCAGGGCTGAGGACGGGGGTCAGTGCTTGTAAACATACAGTATGTCTTCACCCTGAGTTTCTACTTTGACTGTAAAAGTGCTGCTACAGAAGTACCAGCGACAGCATCAAAGCTCCACTTCTGTGCTTTTTCCCCCAACACAGCACGTCAGAGGACTGAAAACGCAGATGTTCAGTTATGTGTGGATGCAAATTGTTTTATAAACGGAGGGGGGGAAATACTCAGTTTTAAAAATACCCGGCTACGTGTGGACATGGCCTCTAAAAGAATAGGGAGGCAAAAGAGTTGTCCAAGAGTTTGAGTCTTAAAATCTTGTCTCTAAGCACATCCATGTGTTGGAGTTTGGATATAAATAAATAAAAAAATACATAAAACAACTTATTCAAAAAATATGTTGATTAAACATTAAACTAAAAAATAAAAGGTGATATTTCAGGCAATTTTTATATAATTTTGTATACAACTGGCGACTATGATAAGATAAGAGAATCACAGTGGGAGAATAAGAGAACCTTTGCACATAACTGTATTAAGACTGTGCTCTTACTACTTTATGTTTATGATATTGTATGGTTATTGTATTGTATAGAGAGTAATCTGGTGCAGAACATATCTGTCTTTGAGCTTAATGTTACTGTGCACTGTCCCTTTCAAATAAAGACTGAACTGAACTTCTGGAGAACACAAAATATACCTAGATAAATGGCTGTTATGGGAGAGTATTCTGCGTTGAGCTTTGAGAAGTGGAGAGACACTGAGATTCCTCCTGTGCACCAGTGGCCCCGAGTTCATTTGGAGGTTATTTTACAGAGCGTGCATACAGGGGTCTTGCTGTCAGCACAGGTCGCACAATCCTTTTGGCTGTCATGGTTTATGCTACATAAACCATGCTACAATCTCTAGACTTCATTGTTGTTCACTATTCAAGTTTGCCGCTGTCGTTGAATAGCAAATTTCTTTACCCAAAGATAACAAAAGATGGATCAGCTCATAACATTTCAAAAAAGGCTTAAACCTCATTTGTGTTTATGTAAAAATAGAAATGATTGCGCTTAGCTGTTTTCAGATGCCTTTTCGAGTTGATCCTTTAAGAATAAGTGGAGTTGAGGGAAAGGACACTAAGCCTCTCTGTCTACCCACTAAAAACAACATTTAATTCAGTCCACGTTCGGTTGGAGGCAGGAGGAATGTCTGAGAGATTGAAACATCCCAATTCCCTGAGTATGTCTTCACCAGCTGCATGCTCATAAGCCCATTTTCAGCACATGAAATGGTTGCGAGTTTGCACAAGGGTGCATTAGGCTTTCTCTGCACCTTTTTTTCGGCTGCATCTGGCTCCACGTTAGTCCCACAACCTTTTGCCAGTCACCTGTCGGTCAGAGGAAGGTGCACCTGTCCTGTCGGGCTTCTCGCAGAGGCACGTTCTGACATTTTCCAAAGACTATTACCTATTTAAAAATGTAAAAAGTAAATTGTCTTCATCTGGGATGATGAGGAAGCAGAAGTAAAGTGGTTTTGTGCAGTTTTAACCCTTGAGGTCTCTTAAGTAGTGGATTTGCTTGGGATTTGTGTCTGTCTTGGTTACATTTTTCACTAGAAATATTATCAATATTTTGTATAATATTGTTGTATTATTTTACATCCTGTAAAGGGGATAGTGCAAAACAAAATTCCAGGATTAAATTTACGTATAATGGACTTTTTTCCTTACAGTGTTTTATATTTATTTTGAGACTTTATATATGTTATAATATATCCATATTTATAATATGATTATAAAAAACTGGCTCCTATATCTAATTCCCAAGTTTCCACTGAGACAAAACAAACATTTTTTAACCATTCAAGTCTGCCAGCTTGATTAATAAAATCAAATAAAAGATACAGAATAGAAGTTAAGAAGGGACCCTTTATTTATGCACTGATTGTATAAAAGTGTTGGTACAAGTCTGTGTTTGACAGATTACTTCTAAATCAACGTAAACTGCTTTCTAAAGTGTTGATCCTGAAGCGTCTGATGCATGGCAGTGGTTTTAATGTTTCAGATGACGAAGGACCCGATCCTCCAGAGCAGTTTACCGCCATTAAACTTTCCGACACGAGGTGAGGAGCCCCACATTTCACAGATGCTTCTACAAATCACTGCTCTGCCTTTCACCACCACAACATCGTTTGTTCCACAGACAAGTCTACACACTGCCCCCTCATCTCATTACACATTATCTGTCCTTTTGTAGAATATATCCTTTTATGACTTATCTATGTATATATTGTGTGTTTGAGGATTGCTCTTAAATCCGGATATGGGAAGTATATGGGGGTGAACTCGGACGGTTTGGTGGTGGGCCGCTCTGATGCCATCGGCGCTCGGGAACAGTGGGAGCCAGTGTTTCAGGATGTGAGTAAAGATTGTCAAGGATCTATATTATTTTATCACCAACTGCCACAAGGGATCAGTAGAGAGGCCATGACGTTTTGTAACATTGGGTTGTTTTACTAAAAATTGCTTGTGTCCATGCAAAGTAAAAAATATGATTAATCATTTACTAAATTAGTAAAGGCTGGTTAATTTATAAGACAAAGAGTGTATAGAAGCTAGTACTGGTCTGGCCTGGTTTCGATGGTAGACTTATCAGTCTCTTATCAGGTGTTGCCACTGGATACAGTAACAGTTACTGACAGATCAGGAAGATTCCTCAGACTGACCACGCCCCCTGCCACGCTGTTGTGTCTGGAGAAGTTAGTAAGCAGATATTTCAAAACTTTTAAATTCTGTCAGACCGGCTGCATTTGGTAACATCAGCTGATAAGAGACACGTCCACACCATCCCATGTAAGCTCAACGAAAGGCAGAAGTCTATTGCCCGAACGTGTCAGGTAATTAAGCAGCGCTAGCTTCTTTACACTTCTGTCCTATTAAAAGAACCTTCCAAGCCTTGAGCTCATAGAAGACATAATGAACTTTCTACATTTAATACCGAAAGAGTTGACGACTATTTCCATATTGGATTAGTTGTGATTAATCAATTAATTGTGACAGCCCTAAATTAAACAGACATTCTAATTGCCCAGTCCAATCCAATTTGTTCCAACTGCCACTTACAAGTGAGAACTGCATGACATGACATTGACATTTCCCCACTGTGGGACAAATATAGGTTCTCTTCTCTCACCTTAATTAGTCGGCCCGTGTCTGGCTATATTGTAGTTGCTTTTGAGTTTTCTGGTCGAGTCGTTTGTGTAGGACCCTACAATGATTAACAAATACACTTCTTAAAAAATCAATGTTCCCAAGAAAGATAACATTATTAGATTCTGGCTCGAAGTCCCGTGTGATTATTGTATAATGTAAATGTTATATGAAATGACAGGTTTGCTCGGCAACATCTAAGAATGTGTCAAAGGCAGAAGAAAAATGTGTTTTGGTAAAGTGCATTATATTGATTTTAGAAAAGCTGAGAAAGGTGTAATTTACTATGATTGTCTCATAATCAAATAGTTACAACCAAATGTGTTTAATAGAGGAGATGCTCTGTTTCAGTTGGTCAAATTTAGTAAATGCAAAAAAAGATTCCAAACCCACTCAACAAGACAAAGAGAGAAGATACAATAATTTGTTCATATCTTTATTTACAGGGACATTGCACAACAGATGTTTTGTACAGACCTGACATAAGCTAATTTTCGTCTGTAGTCTCTGGGCAGATGGAAAGTGACAGCAGGGTCAGCAGGTGTGCAAATAATTGTTAAATGAACGAGCCTCATTAGCATTTGAATAACCCGAGTTTTTGAGCCATATCTTTTAAGATGTAGAGAAAACACCCCATAAGACACAGGCCCAAACACTCTCTGATCCTACACCTCTCCTCTACATAACATATGTTATAGAAATATTTTAGTAAAGCAACCTGAATTAACACCAAATAGTTATGAGTGTAAGTTATTAACTAACAGTGAACTCTGGATTCAGATACAGGCCATAATGCTCTGTTGGCAGCAGGTCAGTGATAGATGGAGACGTGCTGCATCATGTCTTTGACCTGGGTCATAGAACAATATGTTGAGTTCAAAAGCAGATTGTTACATATATCAGAGTTGTATCAGCGTTAGGACGTGTAAAGAGAAGCCTTGAGCAACACATATCAATGTTGACTTCATTTATGTAATATCTAGAGTAGATATGTGTTTGTTTACTCTGGTCTATTTAATGTACAGTTATTTCCTCAATCGGGGCAGTCGATTTCGGACGGCTGCCCGGTGGTATTGGTATCGGTTCTGTTATTCATTGTAATTGTGCACATTTACTAATGAATAAACTCACACTTTGTTTGGAATTACAGCTCTGAGTTGTTTACATTATTTGACTCTCGGTATGTGCAGAATTTCCACAACACATACTTTGCAGAACATTATAAATGCAATCATGTTAAAACAAATTTTTAAGTGGCCTGGAATTCAAATATATGCTCCCTGCCCTGAGATACACAATGATTTTAAAGTACTTATACATTTAGGCACCCAGACATTTTTTTTTTCCATCCTCATCTTTTATTGTCATATTTGTTTTAGGGTAAACTGGCTCTCCTGGCTTCCAACAGCAGCTTCATCTCCTATAGCGAGAGCGGAGACATCGAGGCCAAGAACAAAGCAGCAGGGGAGAGCGAGATGGTCAAGGTGACGTGCGAATCGTCTCCCTACACGCTTGCTTTATTTAAAAAAATATATATTATTCATTTTCTTTGTTTTTTGTTCTTGACCCATTAATAGATTCGAACCAACACGGAGAGGGAGGTAAAGCAGAAGGATGACCTGGCAGATGAAGACCGGGGGAATGTCAAGTCCTGTGAGCTCAATTACGTGTATGTATCCTGCTATAAGTCCTCCAACCAATGTCAGTGTTAATAAGCTGAGGCAAGGTTTTATACCACTCTATGACTCTAGAGTGACTGTGAAGATGTTCTACAGGGACATCACTTTGTTTTGGACAAATGGATTGGATAAAAACCATAATATTCACTGACATTTTGAGGTCTCATTAACTAATCGATTAACCAGAATAAGAATCGATTATCAGAATAGTTGTTACTTACAGCCCTAAATGTGTGTGACATTGGTTCTAGAGAAGGAATCTAGAGAAGATTTTTTTTTATAGTATCAAACGTGATTCATGAAACCTGTTCCTGAAAGGGCTCAAAACTAGCCATAACACAGATCACCTTTCGCGGCCTGGATGTTCCAAAGATTTTTGTGTTTTTTTAGTGAGCAATTTTTTTTATTTTTTATCTTTTATACAGCGTGCTTTTTCATGCGGGCTATCACATGATATACAACATCATGTAACCGCTCGTATAACATGAGCGTAGCGTAATCAAATCATATTTTGATGAACATTCTGAGATCAGATCTATATAAAATGTCAATCTGCTACACAAAACGCATTATTATTCAGTAAAAGTCCATAAAACCAGCGTCTGCGTCCTGTTCCGAAGTGAGAGGTGACTTTGACTCCTGCTGTCCTCATCATGTCATTAATCAGAGTGGCTCTTGCGACAGGTAGACGCTAACAGCCTCAGATGCGTACCTTTTAACCTTGTCTCTAATGCACACTTTAAACACTTTATTTGGACAATGAAAATCAACAGCAGGCAGCTAGGCACAATCATTTTCTCCCCATTAGACCATTCTGCACTGACAACATTCTGACAGCGAAATCGCCCACTCTCAGCTCATCTATCTTCCCTTAAAGGATAAGATTGATGCTTCAATAGTCAGTCATAGGAACAGGCATTTTAGATTGCACCCACTAGTGGTGTGTTCCGAGCATCTGCAGCCTATTAAGATCTAGGCAATACGTCTGCCGTGGCGTTTGTTTTTCGTCGAACGGCGAGGAAATGGACTCATCACGCCGACACGTTGATAATGGCTGCCCTTGAGCGGCCGCAGTGATGTAGTGTTAAGTGTCTCGAACGCCTTTCACAAAGGAGAGCAGCCGGGGATCGTAAAACACTGAGAGAAGAGGAAATGTGTGCAGCTGATAGGAAATCTGTGAGGGCATTATTTGTTTTCATCAAGCTAATTACAACTGTGGGGTTGGTTTTGTGTTTTATTGGGAGTTACGTTTTCACAGAGCTTTCATGTGATATGCAAGTACATGAAAACTGAGTGCTGGGAGTGTAAAATATCTTCTTGATTGTATTGTATTGTGTTTTAATGTATTGGTGCAATGTGAATTGGGTGCTCTGACTGTCGACAGTAGCTCAGTTGGTATAGCATTGGCCTTTGAGCCTAAAGGTCATGGGTTCGAGCCCGTCATGAGACAATCTCCACCGACTCCCACTGATGACTGCTGTTGTTGTGTCCTTGGGCAAGACACTTAACCCCACTTTGCCTGAAGCCCCCACTGAAAGATCAAGGCTATGCCATAGAGCAGCCATCCTCCTGTGGACTCACCACCTGCAGGAGGATCAGTGAGGGGCTGGTGCTCTGTGTACTGGGTAGCATCTCTGGCCACCCTCCCCGACCCAGAGGGATGGATGCTCTGACTGCACCCAATTGTATTGTAATCAAAATTAACATGTACAACGACAACAAGTCTTTCTGTACGGCGCAATCTAACAAAGTAAACCTAAAGTTGGTTACAAAACAAGGAAGCTTGCAAAATAATATAAGATGAGCGAATAATTATTCATCCCACTGTGGGGACATGTCTGTGTTGCAGTGAACGTTGCAGGTAGTTGGAACTAATTAGCACAAGATAAACTATCACTAATAGAATATAATTGTGGTATTTAAGCAGAATGCAGAAAAGGTCTCTGTTTTATGCACAGCTAAGCAGACCTATTAAACTTGAACTTGAGTAGAAGATATTCTCACGTTTTCAAGAAGACCATTCTAGATTTGGCAGCATAATCTGAAACACTGACTCTGGGCACCAGCAGAGGGCCTGTCCCTGTGCTCTGCAGAGTCTGAGTGTGTTCATATGGCACTCAGTGTTAACTCTCACTCATGTACTTTAGCTCAAGGCTATAGAAACTCGCAGCAGAGCAGCTTTAAAAACCTTGTGGAGACACACAAAGTGCCACTGATGGAGAAAAATCCACTACGTTTGACCTTTTTAAACTGATTTTAATGGGCTTGGTTTGCAGGAAGAAGTTTCAAAGTTTCCAGGATCGCAGACTCCGAGTCAATGAAGAAGATTCCACCACGTTAAAAAAGGCCCGAGTGGACGGGAAGTTTCACGAGGCTCTGCTGGACAGGTCTGATTATATCCAAGATATTATATGATATTATCTATGATATAAAATTAATAATATGATATATCTAAGATATTATATGTGTCAATCAAGTGTTTTGAGAATCTAACTCATGGTTTGTATTGCAGGAGAAGTAAAATGAAAGCAGACAGGTACTGCAAGTGAAGACGAGGGGCCATTTGTTTTTAATTTTTGTGGAACTTTTTTATGATAATTCATTCCCATTGTATGTTGATTAATTGAATGTGTTTCAACTGACTCATAAACTGGTGCATTTACAAACACTGTGTGGTTTAATTTTTATTTTTTAAATTGAATCGGTTTAACTCAAAATCTTGTGTTAGCGAATTGTTTTAAAGTCTCTATTCTTTAGTGTTATAAGATGCGTTATGAGAAGAGAATCATCTTTCTTCTTTTTCTGCACATTTATAATACTACAACAGTAGTAACTTCAAGTTATAACAAGCTTTAGAAATGTACCTAACAGCACTAGTATATGCCTAAACCTTAGCACATTGCACTTACCCAAAAGCAAAGGCTATACAGGGTCTACGATTATTCAAATAAACACAGCATAGAAGATATAGCGTTTCCTTCAATGTTTGAATTCAGGAGTCTTAACAGTGTGAACACGGTAGCAAAACCACCAACAATGGCAAGGCAAGTTTATTTATATAGCACAATTCATACACAAGGCAATTCAATGTGCTGAACAAAACAAGAAAGCATTAAAATCATAAATAATCACAGAACATTAAAAAGAAAGATAATATAAATATAACAAATATAAAATCCCTCAGTTGTATGCACAGCTAAACAGAGCTGTCTTTAACCTGGTTTTAAACATTGTCAGAGAGGAGGCCTTCTCAATATAAGAAGGTCCTTTATTCGGAGAAAAGTGACTCCTATTGGATTGTTTTTATTGACCAATACTAGTGTTTGATGGCAATACTACAAACACTGAATACGATGTCACTTTATAGTTAAAAGACAAAGGTGAAGTTCACAATGGAATTGACTAACTGTATATCCCATATCAAAGTGTCTGACCCATAGAACTTTGAATAATATTAATATTTACAGTCTATGCTTTGAACCCACATGCTCTACGTGGAATAAACCATTGCGCTTTGCTTCTAGGGGTGTTCCCTGTTATGTTTTAGTCTATTCCTCTCTCGCACAACATAAGAAAAGGAAAAGTGTACATGAAAAGAACGTATAAACTTGAGTGATTATATTTATTTCGGCACATCTTTCTAAACCTTGTATAACTTGCTTTGCGCTCCCCCGCTGCGCTGGAGTGGAGTGCGCCGTCACGAGGTAAACACAGCCACTTCCGCAACAACACAGCCCTGAAAGACGACAGCTCTAATGCCCTAAGTTGTTGGAAAGTGTGTGTCTTTTCTGTCAAAATGTCTCCTTTAGCTTCATTTGTTTTAGCTGCTTTTATTTCTGTGACATCTGCGCAGTATGTTCCACCGGTAAGTAACAAGTTAGCATGTAGATCGGATTGAGCATGTTGCTTAATAAACAAATGCATAATTTAATGGTACGTTGGGATCTACCAGCGTAGGTAAGAGAACTGTGAGAAACTGATCTTTTCATGTTGTATGTATACTTTCAGTACACGGAGGACTGCAGGACTGACATGTATCCTCCAAAAGGACCCACGTAAGTTTAATGTTTCGACCATCAAAGACGAGCTGGCACCTGGTTGAGTCATTGGTTTTATAATATCCTCAGTCTGTCATTGTCACTGTCATAACAGGAGGGGGCAGAAGTGAATAGTTATTTCTTTACGGTAATTTTTGGGGAAAGTAGAAATGTAAAAATCAAGTAGTGTTCATTCAACTCAACCAGACACTATCTCACAGCATCATCAAATTAAATACGATTCAGCCCGTTCAAGGTCTCATATTAATTGATGTTTATATTGATCTGGAAAACTTATCCATACCAGACTCCTTTTATATAATATTACAATTGCACTGAATCATGCTTGCCTCCATAAAGCTCTACCTATGAAGTCAAAGTGTGATAACTAAAATCTTGAATACACTTCTTAATGGAAGAGTTTCTATTATTGCTTATTTCTTTTGTGAAATTTGCAGCATAAATAGTACTTATTGACACTTGAAAATTTGAATAATTTAACATTTATGCGATGACTGTTTGCTGTTCTACGCCAGATTTAAAGGCAGCGTCAGCTGGTATACAATAGATTTGGACCTGCCGCCTCACAAGAGATGGACGGCCGTGATCACAGAGAAGAAAAAGGACGTGAGGATCTCCACTTCTACCACTTTTCATTTGACACAATTTAGTTTTGCTTCCTGTTTTATTTACATAATTTTCATTCATCTTTATTTCGTCAGCTGGAGAGTATGATTGAAATCATTAGAGACCTGGCAAAGGCCTTTGTGCCCAGCGGGAAACTGATTGAGTTGGTGGATATAACTTTGGTGAATCTCTTTCTAAATGTGACTATTTCGTCTGATTTAAAAAATAAAAAAAAATTGACCTTTTTTTTCCTCCCTTAGCCTTTGATTGTGAACACGCTGCCTGATCCGTTTAAAGATGAGATCAAAGGAATAGCATTAGATTCGGGCATTCCTCTTGGTAAGAAAGTGGTGGCATATGAGCTTTGTGCATAAGGCCCATTTGAAAGCTGCTCTTTGTACTTTGGTCATGCAGGCGAGATCACTTTGTTCAACATCTTCTATGAGGTCTTCACTGTGTGCACCTCTGTTGTGGCAGAAGATTCCAAAGGTGGGTAAACTGATCAAATTAAAGATGTATTTTTAAATAACCGATCAGTAATAGTAATGGGTTGCGTCCATGTGACACCACAACATTGAAAAGAGCCTAACCTTTAACATAGGTGGAGGGCAGCTGTTTAATTGTTCCTGGTAACTATGGTAACTTCTAGCCATGGTTTTGAGCTAATTTCTCTGTAATCCTTGGGCCAATCCACATGAAACAAAAACTGTTACAAGTTCAAGTCAAGTGGAGGAGTTAAAGTATCTCGGGGTCTTGTTCACGAGTGAGGGAAGGATTGAGCGTGAGATTGACAGGCGGATCGGTGCAGCGTGCGCAGTGACGCCGTCGCTGTATCGGACCTTCGTGGTAAAAAGGGAGCTGAGCCGAAAGGCAAAGCTCTCAATTTACCGGTCAATCTTCGTTCCCTCCCTCACCTATGGTTATGAGCTTTGGGAAGTGACCGAAAGAACGAGATCGCGGATACAAGCGGTCGAAATGAGCTTTCTCCGCAGAGTGGCTGGGCGCTCCCTTAGAGATAGGGTGAGGAGCTCGGTCACACGGGAGGAGCTCGGAGTAGAGCCGCTGCTACTCCACGTCGAGAGGAACCAGTTGAGGTGGCTCGGGCATCTGTTCCGGATGCCTCCTGGATGCCTCCCTGGGGAGGTGTTCCGGGCACGTCCCACTGGGAGGAGGCCCCGGGGAAGACCTAGGACACGCTGGAGGGACTATGTCTCTCAGCTGGCCTGGGAACGCCTTGGGGTCCCCCCGGACGAGCTGGAGGAAGTGTGTGTGGATAGGGAAGTCTGGGCGTCTCTTAGACTGCCCAATGCTGCCCCCGCGACCCGGCAACGGATGAAGCGGAGGAAAACGAACAAACGAACAATATTCTTTTATTTCTATCAAAAAAAAAAAAAAAAATCCAATAGTTATTTGCACCTGGCCTCTAAGTGAAATGGAACTCTACAACAGGAATGCAATATATTGTAGAAATAATGGTTATAGTAAATAGTTTTTACAGATGCTCCAAGTCTCTTTACAATTTCACCGTTCATCAGTCTGTTGCCCCCCGCACTTGGCCAAGTGTCTTGCTCAAGGAGTGTTATAGGTACTTTGTTATTATCATTATTGGCCATGATAAACTAATATAGTGATTTGACTTAGTGAAATATAATGTATTTGTGAACTCCAGCCTTTTGCACAAGGAAATCAAAGAGCTCTGTTAAAGCTGGGGTACCTAATTTTCTACAAAAAATGGAAAATATAGAATTAATCTTGACTCGTTCCTTGCTCTCAAAACAGTTTGTCACACCTTTTTATGCACATTTTCTACCTATCGTTATCTTAATTTGCTAAAAATAATGCGTAATATTTCTTCTTTAAATTAGGAAAATCATCTATTAGATTCTTAAACAAGAGAGCATTAAGTTTGAAGATTTCTCTCCTGTCAGAAGAAGCCTTGATCATTTCTCTGTAAAAGCTGTATTTGTGAATTAACTCCTGGGAGGATTTATCCATTTGTCAGGTTACATAACTTCATAAATTCTGTCTCCTTTAGGGAATCTCCTCCACGGCAGAAATCTGGATTTTGGATTATTCATGGGGTAAGAACATCCCATCACACACGTCGGTTAGATTGTCAAATATGAGCTTTAATAAATCCCAGCCGCCTCTGCTCAGCTGGGACGTTAAGAACAAATCGTGGATCGTGAGTGAGAAGCTGAAGCCGCTGGTGGTGAACCTGGACTTCAGGAGGAACAACAAGACCGTCTTCAAGTCCACTAACTTTGCCGGCTACGTGGGCATGTTGACGGGGATGAGGCCGGTGAGACCCACCCAACCTGATTGTGTTGTTTATGAAGGTCTAAACAGAAGCCACGTCTGTTTCAGAACCTGTTCAGCCTGACCATGAATGAGCGCTTCAGTATGGACGGAGGATATATTGGTCAGTATCTTTTAACCGTAGTACAACATTGCTCACGCACCAAAAACAGACCTGGAGTTGTTTTTAGATCCATTCACGCTAATAATGTGTAACGCCTTTCCTATACCAGGCAAAGCAACAAGGCATAAGCATTAAAATCTACATAAACATGATAAATGCAATTACACCCCCACAGGTATTAGAATCACAATGAATAATGAAAACATACACATTTAAATCACACAAGTAATTAAGAAGATTAAAATATTAAAATCTTACATAGAATATTTAAATCCTCCCTCTCTGTCTAAAAGCTCCTGTCTCAATAGTATGTTATTGTACCACTATGACATCACACAGTAGGACCCATGAATTAGTTTAGTTTTTACAATGTGTTTGCAGCTGGTAATTTTCAAAGTTGAGAAAAAAAACATATATTATGGGGATATGGCAGGCCTGTAGAATTGTAATATATAAGCAGCACATAAAATAAGCTGGAAAACAGTTAAATATATCCATCTCAACAGCAAAATGGTATGGACAAAAAATAACTACTAAATATTTCAAGATATGGATAAATATGACATGCGTCTTTTATGAATGAGTGTTAAAACAGGCAGGAATAAAAGGAGACATTATAAGCGACATTACTCTTGATGGAGAAAAGTTTTTAAAATGAATGATTGATCTTCATGCTTGATGACTTTGCTAGGAATTCTGGAGTGGATTCTGGGTCAGAGAGACGGCATGTGGATGAGCTTCCTGACGCGCTCGGTTCTTGAAAACGCAACCAGGTGTGTCCATTCAGTCTGAATGCTTGTGTAAAACATGGAGGGTTATGATTGGGCCAACATCTGCTGTGTGTGCTGCAGCTATGACCATGCCAGATCTCTCCTGGCTCAGACCAAGCTGCTGGCCCCGGCCTACTTCATCCTGGGGGGGAACCAGAGCGGACAGGGCTGCATCATCACGCGCTCCAGAGAGCTCAGCCTCGACCTGCTGGAGTGAGTGCATTCACAACATTTACATCGCAAACCATAAAGATTATTTAGGTGGGGGAAACGACAGAATTGAGAAGGTTATGCAAATTGGATGAAGGTTGTGGGCTGAATGATCATGGTTATTTTTTTCTTGCAAATGCATTATTTCTTAGTTTTTTTGTGTGCATATGTTTTTGCTTCTTTGGTGTTGTTAAATCAGATAAACAAAGCATGGTAATGTCAACTTTGTCAACTTTTGCCTTTCTTCAGTGACTTATGTGTTATTGGGACTGGTTGCTTATCTCGATAGAGGGGACTTTCAATTCAATTCAATGAAGATTCATCAAACACTCGTATTATGCAAAAATGAAAATTATCTTGTGTCTAATTAATTAAAACTTATCAAACTTCATCTGTAAATAAACCAATGAAAAGCTGTTCCGATCACTTAAAGGCACAAAATGTTAAATTAAGTTCATTTTAAAGACAGATTCATTCATAATTGTAATTTGTATTCTGCAGTTTTGACACAATGTGTAAACATTATTAGCTGAAATATCCATATCATTTTTAGTGAGAAAACAGAAACCTTTCAATACTAATTATTATAGTTATTATATTGACTAACCCTAATTTTACCCTTAAAAATCATTCATTTTAGACTTTTTGTTGATCCACAAAGAAAATGACTTCATATCAGGGCTCAAATTGTAATATTGAAATCTAATGATTAAGAAAAAAAGAAAACATAATTAACCAATATACCAAGTTGAATGTTAGCTACTATTTACAAAGAATACATTATGCCACTTTTCTAGTCCAAAATTGAAATACAGTATGTACAGTAGATAATAAAACGGATATCTGTGTTGTACATTGTCATTACACCAATGTTTGATTTGTGGTTTCTTCTCGTCCAGTGGAACTTATCACGCGCCCGTCTTGAGCAACTGCTTGTTCAAACTCAAAGTGCTGCAACAGACTTTTTTTCTTTTTTAGCTTCATATCCTTTTTAACTGTTTTTTAATTTTTTGTATTGTTATAGGTTAAATGTGAACCTGGGCCGATGGTATGTGCTGGAGACAAACTACGACCACTGGGAGGACCCCTTTTTTCTGGACGACAGACGAATTCCGGCGATGAAGTGCATGAACAAGACCACACAGGATGTAAGAATGTGTCCTCATTGTGCCCTGCCCTAGTCCGGCTCTGGACAAGGGACTAGGACCAGGTCTGGCTCTAGTCCCACTGGTTTAGATCTCGGAAAATTATAATCACTGTCCCTCTTCCTTTTGCAGAAAATCTCAATAACGACACTGTATGATGTGCTCTCAACAAAGCCTGTGCTAAACAAGGTGAGTGTTTTTATGGACCTTTTTCTAACTCTCTAAAAAAAATTTTCTTTTTAAAACTAGGTTCTCAAGTACCTCGCCTAAAAGGACAGTTCAGAATTGCACAAGGGTTTTTGAATCATCAATTTGTTCCATTTATAATTATGGAGTGAAGGTTGCTGAGGGCCTTAGTGCACAAATTCGACTATTTCCAAAAAGTCTTTGAAAAGAAAGATCCATGATTATGTTTTTATATTATAACTACCAAAGGGGAAAAAGTTAAACTGTTTTCTCATGTCAAGCTTATAAATTTAAAAAGTAAAAAGCATGGTTAATAACTTAAAATGTGAAACCAATGTATGATATAGGCTCATTACATGCACCAAGTGAAAAACGCCAACACTAGAAAAAACAAAGAGAAAAGATGCATCTTGTATCAGTATGAGGATTTTCCCAAATGTTTGCAAAGAACCGCCCTCTCCACTTTTTGAACAAAACTCTGGTCTTATTTGACGAGCACGTATCACCAGAATGATGGGAGGAGGACCAATAGTCTCGATGATCCACCTGCACGTATCAAATCCTCATATACCTTTTTTGAGCTGGGATTTAAAGAATGCAAAGTGACATATACCAAGTTTTCTGTCATATAATTGTTTCACATTGTAAGTTGTAAATGGAAAATTAGGATATCGTTCAAAAGTCAACTAGTAATTGTAATTGTTGTAGTACTTTTTATGCCATTTCCATAATAGTTTGCCTGTTGTTTTTGTTTAGCTGACCACTTACACAACACTGATGCAAGTCTCCGAAGGCAAGATTGAGTCCTACATCCGCGACTGCCCAAACCCCTGCATGCCCTGGTGACGCCTCCACTCATAAGACACTCGTGAAGTTATAGAAGCCAAAAAAAACAAACTATTCTTTTATTCATTGTTTTCTGTGGTTGACAATTCAGGGATGTAATTGTGTTTGTAATCCTTCGCAAGTGAATTAATTTAAGGTGTAAATGTTTTCTAACGTGCAGGTGTCAAACCCAAACCAGTTGTATACAAGATTTTAATGCACCATTTTGTGCCTGCTCATTGTCATAGGATCACTGTGACTCAACGTGACCACTTCCTCCTTTTGTAATGGTTAATAAAACATGTGACTTTATCTGCGTTTCAGAATCTTTGTGCAGCTTCAGCACCTTTTTTTTTTTTACTTTAACATAACGTTTTTAAAGATTGCATGATTTCAAACCCACAATTTTACCAGATAACACACATCAGTTTACCTCTGGCTTTATTACTAAATCTTTTGACATTTGCAGAACTCATGCAGGTTTTATTTTTTCTTTTGATGATATATTCCATCTTCCAACTTATTCAGATTTCCTTTCTTGACTGTTCCACTTATATCTAGGGAAGTTTTTTTTTTCTTTTTCTATGAATAAAAGATTAAGACTGCATGACATCCTGAGTTTATTATGTATTTTTTGCATGCTTGCAGGTGGGTCTCTTTTTCACTTGTCTAAAAAAGCTAATGTAAAGAGGAATACATGCATATGAAAATTATGTAACCTTAGAGAATTTGATATTGTTTTGCAGTTTGAAAAGACTACTTAAATGAAAGAGGTATCCTAGTTTTGTCAAAAAAAAAACCCAAAAAAAAACCAATTCATCCATCCATTTTCTTTTCCTTAATTCATTTCTGGATCGGGGTTGGCAGTCAGAGCTAGACCCAGCCTCACTGATCCTCCTGCAGGTAGTGAGTTCACAGGAGCTGAGATCATTCAGCGGGAGCTTCAGGCAAAGTGTCTTGCCCAAGGACACAGCAGTCATCAGAAGAAGTCGTGAAGTAGGTCTTGTGGTGGGCTCGAACCCACGACCTTCAGGGTCTAAGGCCAATGCTCTACCAACTGAGCCACTGTCGCCTTTACTAACTGTAGAAATGTGAATTTATTTAGAATTAACCCCATATTTATTGATCCAGTTTATCCGAATAACAATTCCCAACAACTTCAAGATTTGAAAGATTTTGCAATTTATTTAAAATGTATCAGTTTAATTACATGGAAACTAACAGACCTTAACAGTATTAACAGAGACTAAAAATCTGAACTATACAAGGAGGTTGTAACGCAAACATGTGGCTATATTCTACAGTCATCTCTAATGGGGAATGAAGTGCAATGAGGTGGTCTGTACAGCAGTAAGGCAAGGTGGAGAGAAAACACTATTGTGATCCCATAACCCAGGACGGAACCCAAAGAACGATGAGCAGCAGATATGACATTCAGGAATGGACCCAGCTCAGGTGGTGCCAATATTTCAAACTACAATCAACGAGAGTAAAAGAATGAGGGAATATGTAGTGTTCATACAACTCAGAAGTAATGGGAGTAGATTTCTTCACATGTTGGGCTCAGACAGCTTCTGAAAAATAGATACTTGTAAATTAGTAACAAATAGGGGCACGGCAACAAATATAGCATCGAGACAGGGCAGATTACAACTGGGTTGAACTGGACAAACAGTCAAACAAAAAATCTGATATAGTATCACCATGATAAGGAATTTGAGGGGGGGACTGCAAAGGGGGGGGTCAAAATTCACACGTTTATTGCAATAATTTTTGTTAATATTTTTCACGAGCCGCGGGGATGAGCCGCCACAATGCACGTTTTAACATAAAGCGGCCACCCGCTTTTAATGTGCGGACCTCTTTACCGCTGACTCCGAAAACCCGGACCTCTTTACCGCGGTGTGTGGCCGCAGTGGAAACATTCTGCGAACGCCAGGCAGGGGACAGGAGGGTCATAACACCGGGCATGTGGGTGAATGCAGCGTCTTTATACAATAAACATTTTCCAAAATGGCCACCACCTTGATGACGTCACAGTATGCAAACTAGATGACGAATCAACATCCATCCCAAAGTTTGGTTCATACTGAAGATAGTTCTCATTTACAATATGCCTTCATCTCAAACTACTTTAAAGTTATAGCCTTTTGAAATCTTGAAATCAAAATTGTAATTTTTTTTTTAAAGAAATGGGCTTAGTGCTGTGTGAAAATCCCTCAAAGGCCTGGGCTCCGTACCGTGCTCCTCTTTGCTGTTGCAACATGTCCAGAACTTTTTAGCACTAACCATGTTGTGGGTTTAGTCCATGGTTTTGTCAAGGAGAAAATTAGCATACAGCACTTACAGTCACACTGCAATCAGACATCGATTTACATTTGTCAGGCTGAATGCTGTGATGTACAGGAAACACGGCACAGAGATTACCCCTTAGCCAATCAGGACGCAGAACACATTACGGTGGTTCTTCCTTAGCCAATCAGGATGAACATTGCAAGTTCATATACAGTGAAAATCATGCTACAAATAAATCTACAAGACAGCGAAAAAATAATCGCTATTCATCTGAGGAGACTCCGATTCAGAATAAAGAATAACACATTTTTCCTGTACGGAAGTGTCTGTTTTGGTGTTTGTATGTTATTTTTTTACCATCATCATGTTTTAGATTATAGATTAGACAGCGAGCCAGATCAGATATATCCCAATGAAAATAATGTTTTTGCACTTTATGATGTGAGAATTGTATACATGCATGTGTAAGAAAATTGAGGGGGGGATATCCCCCCCTTGGGCCATGGCTAGGGGGGAACTGATCCCCCCCATCCCCCCCTCTGGAGGAAACCCTGTTGATTAATTCCTATGAGGTGTCCAGAACATATTAACCTAAGTATGTATGTAAGTCCCAAGAAACATTGGCTGGAAAATTAGAATATTTTTCAGAAGTAAATTTACTTCTGTGATTCAACTTACAATGTTTAACTAATAGATGACTCATTACATGCAGAGTGAGCCATTATTTTTATTGCAATGAAACTACACGCCAAAACTACATCCAATGATTTTTTTCATATAATTGGGTTAAGTTTCTTTAAATATCAATTTGATTATACATATAAAACACACATTTTGCTAAATAAAATTTAATTTTAAGAAACAAAAATGCTTCTTTCCATGGATACTTGGTCAAGCAAAAGTCATAGTTATCAGAGTAAAGGGAAACAAAAATCAAATTCAGGTGTAGTTTTGAACACATGAAAATTTCACCTATTTTGCTAACTAGGATTCTGGACGCCTCATGGAAACTAGAACTATTGCTATATGCTAGTTTTTCGTAAAACTGCTGGTTGTCAAACTAATCTTCCATGTAATACAGTAAGATTAGAGAAATGAACAGGTCTTTACATGCATGCATAATTTGGGCTTTTTCAAATATTTTCAGTCTGAAATATCTGAAGTTAGCGAGCACCACCCGCCCTTAGACAAAAGCACCAAGATGACCCGTTTTCTAATAAAATATTTACAGCATATTATGGTCTGATTTGTTTTATTCTGTTTTAACTAGAGCCTTTCTTTTAGACAAACAAGGAAGCTAACCCAGATTTAAGGACACATGTTTCACTAGAATAATGTATTTGTGAGTAATTCAGAAGAGTGGTGTACCAGGATCTTTGAGGTTGTGGTCGTTGCCCACCAGCCCTGAACTCGGCCCCTCTGTGTTCCCGTTCAAGATCTCAGCCGACAAGTTATTATTCTGCTGCTCCTCCACGATTCTCTTCTGAAGCTCCTCCTGCCACACACAGTTTGGTGGTGAGTTCTGCTGTATTTATGTCTGACTGATCTGTCTGTGACTGAAGAAAAAGCCATTACCTCACACATGACGTTGAGCTGCAAGGGCAAGTCGTCCACCTTCACAAAGTCGTCCTCGTCGGACTTCTGACTGGTGCTGCCGCTGCCCACCTCCTGTCACGAGACAAGGCCCATCATGCTAAATCAAACTTCAGACCATCTGATCATCATTTTCCCTTGTCATGTAATGCACAGTGATTTGGCAGCATAGCAAAGGTACTTTTACTTTTTCTACCGTTATCTGTGATCGAAACAGCATCAATCAAAAGTGTATAGCTGCGTCACGCAAACAGAGCGGGAAGGAATATGTTCACGTGACTATGGTATAATATGAATAATGGCATTCATTGTTCATCTTTAAAAGCCCATTATAGTCACTTTTTAGATTCATATGATTGTTTACATAAAGTGTTTTAATTACTTTGAAAAGTATAAAAACATGTGTTGCCAGATTTAGCCATGAAGGCTAGTTTCCATCTGTGGTCCCAAGTTACAGCCATCAACAAACTGAGCAACAGTCATTAAAAGACACATAAAAACATAAAAAGCAGGTTAGTACAAGCAGAGCGTCGCACAGCACAGTACATTATAAACAAGAGACTCAGACAAGAACAGGGACATCAACAGGAATGCACACAGATTGTAAGCTGTGACTGCAGCTTTGATTGTTCACAAGCCACAGTTGTAGTAGCCCTTGGGCACAAGGCAGTTATAATGGACTAAATGAACACCACTTGTTCCTTGATCCATATTTATTTCCATTGTGACGTCATGTGTTAGTGTGATGTGTTTGTATGGGCTGGTTCCCGCTGAACTCACATCCACATTGATCATGACCGGGGAGTCTGTGTCTGGGCTGCTGGAGCTTGTAGGGCCTTTGAGGACGTCCTCGCCGTGAGAGGCTGTTTCTTCAGAGGCAGCAGCCATGTGTGCGTTACAGCCCTCCTCTTGGGGTTGGTCCTGCTCTGGGGCAGCGCCTTCACTGGACTCCACAGGTGACTCACTGCAGGCCTCTGCTACAAAGAAGAGGAATGAATGACTTTGTCTTCATTTTTTATAATGTACTGTAATTATTAATGATGATTTTAATGCCTCGTATGGCTGTCTCCATCTTGTTTTGTTTAGCGCTTTGAGTTGCCTTGTGTATGAAATGTTCTATACAAATAAACAACCATCAACTGATCCCTACAATACAATAATTAAGAAGTCAACCCTTGTCTAAACTTAGGCCAAGAAAGCAAGAAGAGATTCTGACCACTGGAAAGACACAAAGGTCTGCAAATGTGTACAGAGCTCTACTTATGCTGTTTCTACTGTTTCTACTGGATAATCAGTAAAACTGTGCTTCCTGGATTAGGAGACAGACACTTTACAAACTCTGTACCATGATTGTATGACACAGAGGGGGGGATGCTGTCCACAAATTGTCGGCTCATGCATTGAAGACTTCCTTCAACGAAGCATCCTGTCTGATATTCCTTGCATCATTGATTCTTTGCCTATGATACTCTGTCCCTCTTTATACCTCACAGCTAAACCACTGTGATGCTTGTGTTGGTATTAAGTCACAAAGAAATGTCAGCTGCTTACCATCCTCTTGCTCCACCAGAGACTGTGTCTGCTCTGCTTCAGCATCTGGGGTTTCCGTTCTCATTTTCTGAAAAATAGGTGACAAACCAAATTTGTTAGAGGAGTAGTGAGGTAATCAAACTACGGACCGCTTCAAGAGCAGATAAAGACTGCTTCTGTCAGTCTACTATTATTCAATCAAAGTATTCTCGTCTGCCCTAACCTCTGCCTCCATGTGTCCAGCCGCTGTGACTTGAAGTGACGTCTGCACATCCACAGGGCCGGCCTCAAACTCCTCCACCTCGTCTTCATCGTTTTCATCTTCACCGCTGCCGTAGTTTGTCAGAGCCTGAGTTTCTGCTTTAGACAGACCTTTACAAAGACATGAGGATATCAAAGTTTTGCATGTAGAGCTGGATCAATCTAGTTATAATAATCTTACTTACTGATGGACAGAGGCGCGGCCACTCGATCCTCCTCGGCCTCGGAAACGTCGCTGCTCCTCGTGTGGCTGTGGTTGTTGTTGAGTTCAGTTTGAAGGTACTGCTCCTGTCGCTGCTGCAGCCTGGACCTCCCTTCCTGCTCAGCCTCATCATAGTCCTGTCATTACAACATTGTGTCACACTACCACAATACATGTAGTTTAAAGCTGGGGTACCTCAAATATTTAGCAAACATTTACACCTGAAAATGGAATCAAAAATAAAATTAATAATTTTTAATACATGTTTTAATTGTATAAAGTGCAGGAATGCGAGTCACTAAGGTTTTGTGCACAGACCTGAGATTTAACTCCCCCCAGTCACAGTTTAAAATCAGATACCCCAGCTTGGATTAATATTCACATTAGAAACCGTTCACATGCATTACATTTTCTTTTCTCACCCATTATAGGTCACATATTTTTTAGCAACATTGATTGTACTGGCTCAATGTCACAATTTTCTGAATGATTCACTTTTTACAAATAATAAATGGCATGTGTTTTTACAGTGTATGTACACTTTTCCACAGTACATGTACAAAATATGAACATTGCAAACCTTATCTTCATCAGAGTACTTCAGAACAACCGTCTTTTCTGCAACAATATTTGTGTTTTCCTAAAGAGGAAAAAAAGTTGATATTAGCAGTTTGTAAAAAGAACTAAATGATTGAGACTTTTTAGGAGTGATGTGAATAACGGAAATATAAACACAAGAGATGGATGTGTCTCCATAAGGACACATCCATTTGTTTGCAGTCATAATATTTTTACAGTGCACATAGGACATACTGTATATAGTCTTTTCAATAGAGACTAGTACTAGAGGAGAAAAGTGCACATAAAAGAATAAACTAGTGAAAAAAATACATGTGCTGAGGTGCCTAGATACTGCAAACAAATTGTCATGTATTTATTGCTTCCTCATGGTTCTCACGCAGGCCGTTTTACCAGTGCCCCTTGACTGTTTGTGAGGAAAGGGGAGTTTCCGGACTTCAAATAACTCGGACTGACCTTGGCCTTGCGTTGGCCTCTGTTGGCGTGCTCGGTGTGGGTCCTGATCTTGGGTCTGGTGGCGGGGCCCGTGGTGCTACTGCTGCTGTCCAGGTTCTGCATGAGTTTGAAGAAGGCCAGCTCGTTGAACAGAACCTCGGAGATCTCCACCAGGAGGTCCTCGCCGCACTCCTTCAGGGTCCGTCCCACAAACTTGTTCAAAGAGTCCTGTGAAATATTTTTTTCCTAAATAAAACTAACTAAATAAACAATACTGGACTGTGATATTTAGTCATGGGTTAAAGATTAGATTCACATGTCTCTTCATTGTTGTCATAATGAAACATTTGCCCAACATTTTATTTAAAGAACACTGAGCTTTTAATCCCAATGGCATTGTATAACATCGCCAATATCATGGTTGGGCCTTTTCTTTTCTGTACCTTAATATGAAGTCATGTTACAGCCAATAACGGTCATAATGTCTGATGATGTGTGAACCATTACTCCTACAAAGGTTTTGCAGTTACTTGCATACTAGAATGTATGCAACTGGAACAATTTTGTGGCAAGTATAAGTGTATTTTAATGGAAGAAAGCTAGTCCCTCCACAGGTATTGCTTAATTAATAAGAAAACCATGAAGGAAGATCATGAGCCTCATTCAAAAGTAATTTCAAAGTGTGCAGACGTCTGGTTGAAAACTGCAGACGGATTATTATTACAACCAGCCAAATATTGTCATGACCTAAAAAAAGCTTTAAATATATATTATAGACACATATTCCAATGGCAAGTTTTGTGGGGTTTTTTTTTTTACATTTCAAATTGGCTCTCTGCCTCTATGTTCTTCCCCTTATTATTCAGGGCGGTAGAATTTTGAGTGGATATATAAAGGAAAGGATGACGTGTGCCCTCACCTGCAGGAGTCCTCCCAGCTGGCGGTGGAAGAAGCGAACGAACTCCTTGCTCTCGTCGTTCTCCTGCGTGAGCGTGAGGACCATGCGTCGCACGGACGTCAGCAGCTGCACGGAACAGACCTCGTCCATGTTTTCCTGGTCAGGGCAGAAAGAAACGATCACATGAAGAAGCCATTTAGAGGTTGACCGATATTTCAATTCTTTCAAAGTTTGACTGGCTGATGGGATATAGCAGATTCAAAAATGGCAGTTTGTTTTACTAATTCATTTGTTCATTTTTTTTCTTTAAAAGGCAGCAGTTTCAAGTATCCATTTCTTTATTTCAGTTATTAATGCTATTGAAAATGGGTTTGGCTATTCTATTTTGAGGTTATTTTTTGGGCCAAAATGTGTTAAGTTAAGCTTGGATTGAAACACAACTGGACCATAAGTACTGCAGATTTTGCTCATGGTCTAGAATAAAACTAATGAGGAATAATATGTCATGGCAGAACATAAGCCAGATGGGGAGATGTTAAGGCAGATATTTTAAAAACCTCATTTCTAAATTTTATACAAAGGTAGAAATGATTGTCATTTGCCAATTGTGAAGAGAGAGTGAAACGTTTTGTTTAGACCAGCCAATTGTGCATCTCCGCTGCTTCCTGTTTGGCTGAAATAAAGTAAAATCCTTGAGGTCTGTGGTTTAACTATTCTTCTCCAGAAAATCTGAATGGTCTTATGCCAAAAGGGAGAGACCATTTGTACTATATTAATGTTGAAATAGACTCACTGTGCATATTAGTAGTGTTCCATGGTCAGGTATGTACATTCTTTCATTCAACAATTGAAGTTGCTGACACCTTTAAAACAGTCCTGGGATGTTTTACCTTGAGGAAGGGGATCACTTCAGTCATGATGGCTTTGATTTGACGGTCTAATGGTTGTGTGTCGATCTGGGGGCAGTTCAACACAGCTGCTGCAGCCCCTGTACACAGTTCACCATCAATCACTTTTTTCACATCAAGAAGCAAGGAATGACCCACGGATGGGCCGACAGCATTTGTAACTTAAAATGTGTATGCCAGGTTTTCACGCTTTCTCCAATTGAGTTCTACCATCTGTCATACTTTCACCCAATGTCAGTGTTTTATTTTATTTTTTTATTCTTTTTATAAATAAGAACTAGAACTGAATTATTGTATGGAATTTAGTAGTACACGTTCAATATTTATATGGACGTTTGAAAACTATTTTGACATTGTTTGAAAATATAAGTCAAGTAACCATCTCTACATTTAACAACCTTTAATGTTGTAGAATGCATATTTATTTATCTACATAATGGCCAATGTCGAAGCTTGATTGTCCAACTGGTAAAAACAAGGCATTTTTCTTTTGCGTGTTTGAAATCTTAAATATGTCAAACCGGTCATACCATTTTAAGACAAGCATGCAAGCATGCATCATAGTGATGATGTACCTTCCACATTGGGGCGCTGTTCAATGTGTGAAGCCTCAGCGCCCCCTACAGCTGCTGCGCCGCCATGGCAGTGGTTAAACTCAGCCTTAAGCTTCATACGCTCATACTCTCTAATCCTGGCCAGAGCCTTGTCTAAATGAATCACAGTGTTGCCTAAAGAAGCAGCAGAGGAGCAGACAACAAGCCAGGAAGATGAAAAGGTTAATGTCAGCAGCAGCATCAGGTAACACTGGAGGATCACTTCATTTTGGGAATTACTTCAAAACATTAAGTCATTATGATCCCACAGTGTGAAAAAAGCACAGTACAGCTCATTGCAGAAAGGCGTGGGTTTGAGATTGATGCTGGAGCCAATAGGGATTAAGGCATCAATTTCAATAGATAATTACAATAAACTAACAAGAGCATACACAAGGTATATATCAGGACTATCCAAACAAGAACCATTGCATTCACACCTTTGACCTTGGTCCTAAATTATTTGTTTTAAACAAGTACTTAGGAATACATCTTAGAGTTCATAGAGTACTTAGTGCTGAGATTTTCATGATGAGAAACACAGTTTGGTGCGCAGGGCGTGTGCTTACGTGATCAGTAGTTTGGTGAAATGTTTTGATAGGTGGACTTGACAAACGTGGCCATGACCATGCCCGCTACCGGTTTGTCTGTGTGTGTGTGTGTGTATGTGTATGTGTGTATAAGCGTGAGTGCAGTTGTGGATGAGTGCGAGGTTGCGATTACTACGGTGCTGCCTTGTGAACAGACGCTCTTGGGGCTCTTAGCTTAAGGAAGCACTTTCAAATGGCTGTTGATGAGCAGCAGCTGTGATTTGAGCCACACCTTATTCAAATGACTTCTCCCATGATCTGCAACAGCCGTGTGTAAACGTCACGGCGGACAGCCACGTTGGCGTCTTAAGAGCGCAACTCTGGCACCACGTTATTTAATGGAAAAGCACCTGTCTATTCACTCCTTTTGCCGATTTGACAAATTGTGTGCGAAACCAGTGCAATCAACATACAGTGACAAACAAAATTTGCTCGGCAAATTTGTACTTTGGCATGTGTTTTCCCTGACCAGCTGCACAGACACATTTTTTATGTAGCCAGCATCAACAAATAGGACGGATTCATTTTTTGACGCACGGTGCAGATACTGTGGGTGTGACTTTACATGCTGGCAAAAGGTTGCCATGTTACAGGCTGTTATTAGCGTATATACCAAGGTCATCACTGGCGAAGGGCTCCAGGTTTGACGATGTGGACATGATGCTGTCATTGCCCACAGACTCTGCGTCCTCTCTTTTCCTGTTCCGTGCCAACCTCAAGTTCTTCTCCACCACCTCCTGAAAACACACACAAAAGATTAATGGCACCATGAAGAAAATAAAGAAAAACACCTTTCCCTTCGATCTGCAAGCACGACAAATGAACCGGAGCATTCATCACTACAGAACAAAAGTGTTACTCTGACAGACAAAAGGTTGGATCGCAATTAGAAGAACCCCGGGGACTCCAGTCTAGAACAAAGCCCACGTGACAGAGTGGGAGCAAGAGATAGGGTAATTTCTAACAGACTGGCTACATGAAAGTCTGTATGTCAGGTCTAATTGAAAGACTATGAAGTAGAGGGAGGAATAATTGAAATCGTAGAATAAAGAGCAACACAGGCGGATGAAAAGGAGACAAGGCAGCAGAGGATAAAAGGAGGCGAGGAAAAGGCAAATGAAAGACTGACTGAAGCGTGGCGGTGGCAGAGTTGGAGAGGAACTGATGCCCGCCACTGATAAGGAGGACTGAGGATGGATCTGTAGTGGGATAACACTTAACACAGGGGTTTGAAATAAGTGGAGCATGAGCAATTACAAAAGGTCATTACTCTTTAACATTTTGAGTTTATAATGACCGTCACATGTGTTTTTTCAAATGTGCAATTGGTGTTTAAAAGGAATTGTCAAAAAAAAAAAAAATATTAGACATACTTTAAATTGCTAAATCAAAATCATAACTGTGAAGTAGTTTGAGTTGAAGGAAATACTACAAAAAGTCTGCAAGATCTTCACAATACCAACGATCAGTATTTCATTATCAATTTGATCTTTTATGATCCTCTTCTACACAAAGAACAAATAATGTCGGGACGTGTAGTTGTGCCAGAGGTTTCTGATGGAAAGGGCCAAAAACAAGAAGTTTTTTAAGAAGGGAACATTTTGCAACATAAAAAAAGAATGATTTTGTAGAATTTGTCTTCTTTAATTGCTAAACTACGGAACGTGTTAGGTTAACTTGTGAGTGTGTTTTTTCCCCGCTGGTATCGTTATTTCATGATACCAATTTATTATGAAATAACAAGATACTGTAGATACAGAAGAAGAAGCTGTAGACGCTAGACCTTTAATATTTACAGTCTATGGCCAGACCATATGCCAGGAATGCAGAATGGCTCAGGCAAAGGACCCGCTTCGCACCTTTCTGCGACAGCGAGGCATGTCAGAGGTATCTATGTTGTGGATGCAGGAAGATCAAGTAAGTAATCAATGTGAAGTTATGAACTGCTATCACCAAAATTACATATTTAGCACCGTGAGGCTGGCGTGTTAGCTTGTCAACCTAGCTTTGTATTTCCCATGAGGGTCAAGTTAAAGGCTAAACTGTATTTGCTGGCCTTAAATTAAACCATTGTTTTAGAAATAATGACCAAATAGGGTCATAATAATGATAGGGAATAATTTGATTGTTGCATGGTAGCGCTGTTATAACTTGAAATTAACTGTATGGTGCTTTTTATTTCATTGTTCACAATCCTGAAATATTATAAATCATTGCAGATATACAGTATGTAATTATGGTGATAGGAGTTCATAAATTCTCATTGATTATTTACTTGATCTTCCTGCATCCGATACCTCTGACACCCCTCGCTGTCGCAGAAAGGTGCAAAGCAGGTCCTTTGCCTGAGCCATTCCGCATTCCTGACGTATGGTCTGGCATCTACAGCTTCTTCTTCTGTATCTACAGTATCTTGTTATTTCATAATAAATTGGTATCATGAAATAACATGATCTGTATCTTGTACAAACATGAAATTATCTTGACATAACAGGAAATTATCTTGACATTACATGAAATTATCATGAAATAACATGATACCAGCGGGGGAAAAAAACACACTCACAAGTGAACCTAACACGCTTCCGTATTAAACAAACTCTTTCCTTCAGTAGTGTAAAAACAGGTACCCCAGCTTTAAGCACTTCAAAGGGCATATAACATACAAATTTAACTTAAGCTCACCGCACACCGAAACGCAGCGCCTCGCGGCGCGTCATTTGACGCGCGTTCATGACATGTGTCAAATTACACCGGAACGCCTTGGCTAGCGTCCTTTTCCAGCTGATCGCAGATGAAATGGGTGAGTGACGTTTGGAAGTTTCTACTAATATTTTGGGGGAGGAAACAAAGTATTTACGTGAAATTATGCTGGCAAATATTACAAGAAAAGACTATTTGGACCCATTTTTTAAACAGGCTAATAACTAGCTCTGGGTAACGCTGTACTTGGGTTATCAAGCTTTCCTCGTCCATTGTGACCGGTTTACTTGAGCAATAGCGCCGACAAGTGTGTAAATTTGAGACCGCGCTCACAGCTACGTGATAAGAAGCGCAGAAGAAGAAAACTACGGGTGCTTGGAGGGACAGTTTCAGCCGCGGCGCCGCGTCTGGATTCAACAAAACTGAATCGTGGCGCCCGGTCCAGCGTCGCCGCGCGTCACTGCAACCTTGGTGTGCGTTCTCTCATAGAAAATAAAGGAGGCGGCTCTTTTGCCGCGCGTCAAGGCGTTTCGGTGTGCGTTGGGCTTTAGTGTTTAAAGCTATAGTTGCAACCCATCTCAATCACACACTTGTTAAGAATAATTTACAATCTTGTTATGCCTTCATAAACACAACAATTTCAATCCAAATCCCACAGCACTTACAGCATCACTGGTGGCCACACTCTCACTGGGGGTGAGCTCGGACTGAGAGCCCGCGGTCCACACTGCAGCTCCGGGGACAGGCTGTGCCACGCTCTTCTCCGTAAGGTGTCTGGTCACTATGTCCTGAACAAACATGGGGATACTGTTATATAGCCCACCCTCCATAGCCTTATACAATAAATAGGGATTTTTAGTCCAGTTTTCACCATCCCTACTTGAATCTTCTCTAATAATCTACCTGGCAGTGCTTACATTACACTTTTTACTCTGATACAGCAGTGGTTCTCAAAATGGGGGACTTGAGCCACAAGGCCTAAACTGACGGGGATTGAAATGATTTCCTAGTAAAATCTTAAAAGCTGTTCACTGTATTTCATCAATTTTTTGACACTTACCACAATCATTTGACTGACATATAGCACAATAATGACTCAAAAAAACAGTGAGCCATTTGAATTTAGCCCTTCAAAGTATAACCTCTTTAAATCTTATTCAGCAGTGGGAGGGACGAGTTGATTTTATAGATATTGTGGGGATTTACTTAAATACATTTTGTCCATTGATCCTAACCACGGGAAAACAACAAAACATAGGACCAAAGACAACACATGCATTTCATAGCATTAAATATTTTCTCAACAGGAGATTGTTTATGTCAGTAATGTGGATTGGCCCAAATGTACAAATCCAGTATTACCTGCAGTGAATACAGAGCCCTCTGTCGTAAGTAGTCTGTGTTGAGCAGCTGCAGCTCGTGAAACAGCTCGATGAGGAAGTGTGGCCTGGACTCGTTCTGAGAAATCAGAGCAGCCACCTCAGAGTAGATGGTCTCCCGCAGAGCCTCGAACAGGGAGAAGTCACTGCTGGCATCTGGAGAATCAAACTCTGCCTTACAACTTGTACATGTATACTAGATACTTATGTGCGTCAAAAAAAAATAAAAAGGTCAATGTTTGAGAGAGGCAAGGTGAAATCATGCTTGGGGTGGATTTACCTGGTGCTTCAGTGCATGCAATTCTGTTAGAGAGGAATGGGGTTCTCCAAGCATAGGCTGAGCAGGAACAATTAGAACAAAAATTTAAAATCATGGCAAATATTCAATGAAATGTAAAACAAGATAAACATGGTGCAAACGTTAGAAGCAGAAAATGGGAACAAATATGCTGTGATTAGGATGGATTGGAGGGTGATACCTGATGAGAGGTCGTTGTGTTTATTTTGCTTGGTTTTGCTGTCCAGTTTCTCCTGGGTGAGCTTCTCTAACAGACTCTGATTGTGGATCTTCTGTCGGGACAGGACTACCCGCTCCTGGGCCACAGGGGCACAGCTGCTGACACTGTCGCTGTCCTGGCCTGAAGGGTAATAAGAGCTAGGGGTTTGTATTTGTCTTGTCAACAGAGAAGATGCATTTGTTTATTTGAAACAGGTTGTAGCCATGTGTTAATTTCCATCTGTTTAGGAATGAACTACATTTTCCATGTTGTATCTTCCTGTCTATTTTTTACCTATTATTTTTCCTTCTTGTCATTCGACCCATTGTCTGTCAATCTATTTAATGGAAGAAAGTGCAATCCCCTACTGCTAATATGTCATCATAGATGTATACTTCAGCTTGTGTTTTTAAGCATAATGATTTCAATTATTCTTTACATATTATTATTATTTTATTCTTCTTGTATAAAGTATTCATCAGAGTTTGGAGGTGATCCAGATCACAGAATAGAGTTTGATCTATCGAGATCAAAGACTTTTCTCGGAGGTCTTCTCTACCCTTGCTTTTCTAGTTCTAGATTTCAGGTACAAAAGGAAAGCAACACCCATAATTGAGTCATACACAGCATATATATTGTACCATAAATGAAATGATTTTTTTGTTTGTGTAATTACAATGTAAATTGTTTTTGTAGCATCCACATAGAAACACTTGGTATGAAAAGGAAAACAAACTTGCAGTCCAGGTTAGCAACACATTTCCTTTACCTCCACTGTTCTTATTGAGCACTTTGTTCCTCCTCCGGCACCTCTTCTGATTGGGTGTCTTGCTTCTGGAGGCCAGGTTGGCCTGTGCACATGCTTTTCGTCCCGTTTTAAACATCTTTGTGACGGTGGTGGGGTCCACAGGGTCAGGCATGCTGCTGAAGCTTTCTTGTGATCTTCGGTCAAACTCTTGGGGCTGGGTGCGGCGATGCGGAGGGACGTCGGAGGACGTGGGAGACTCTGACGCCTCTTGTTTGGTAGAGTGATGCTGGACGCAGTTGTTTGTGAAGGAAGTGTTAAGCCAACTGGACGCCCTGAGAAGATCATACACAAACTTTATTCTATTGAACTAAGCAATAGTTGACCATCAAACAAAACTGGAATGACGATGAAAGAGGTCAAAAAGCTGAAGTTTATGTTTCAGTCTTTTCTCAAATGTTACTGCAAAGAGGATGGGGGCTGAGAATGGAAAAAAAAAAGAAATCCTTCCTCTTAATATTTTCTATATCCACTCAATTCAGTCAACTGCTATTCAAGGGGTTCATACACAGTCCAGCAAAGGTAACCAACCTGCATCTAAATTAATGCATTTCAATATTTGCATTTTCCTTTCAGCGGCAAATTGGACTTTGAGTCAAATATCTAAAGCATGTAAAAAGGTGATGAATTAATCAATTTAATAGTAAGGGTTTTGAACAAAAACATGGCCCTGACTACATGTTCTTCAGAAATCAAGCTTCAACATTATTATTTTTTTTAAAACATTATTCTGGCAAATCATTATTTCTAATTGAACCTTTGATTATTCAAAATGTCTTTCTTTAAAAACAGCTTTTAAGTTATTCTTTATTGTCCCCATAGTGAAATTTGTTCTCTGCATTTGACCCATCCTTCATCGCCAATAGGGCCTCTGTCAGGAGCAGTGGTCGCTGTAGTGAACTGCCAGGGACCCGTCTCCAGATGTTCATAATCTGGTTGGTCAAGATCAGAGCTGCAGGATTTTTGCAATTTGTGCATGTTTTAATGGTAGGGGAATCAACACCAAACATAACTTTAGTGCATGTATTTAGTTCTGTAATTACAACACTGAAATATCCTCACTGTGGGATGAATAAAGGCTCTACTATCACATGAAGGCTTCTCTTGCTTCTCTCTTCAAATGTCCTCTTACCCTCGGTCAGTGGTGTTGAGCGTGGGCCGCTGCAGTGGTGGAGGGAAACTCATGTATTCTGTCTTCATTGAGAGGTTGGGGTCTATGAGAGTCTTCTGGTGCTCAGAGCTCTGCAGTCCTGTAGCACCATGTGGAAAGTCTCCCATGGGCGGAGGAAATGAGGGAAACAAGTTAAAACCTGTGGAAGAACGAGCAATAAGTAGGGTATAAGAACATTTAGTTTGATATGTAATAGACATTTTTATTGTCAAGACCCTTCGATAAGAGGGTTTTTGGAGGTGGGCAAACAAAGAAGACCATCTCGAATATGCAATACATATTCTGCAAAATTGTGTAAAGTAAAAGTAAAAATACTATAAAGCATAATTCATTTGAGTGATTTTTTTCCAATGAAAAACATTTTAAGGCTTTTCTCCCACTGGGTTTTAGAGTTTTTCCTTGCCGATGCAGGAGGGTCTGTTGGACAGTTAGTGTCTAACAAGAAGGACCGTGGTGATGATCCAGGACACTTTAACATTCTACAACATGTATGGACATTTATCAACATTCATGGACATTGGTCTCTCCATATGGACCAATACTCAATATGTTCTATATTCCTTTTTGTGTCTTAACTGTTGATTCTCTGATCTGTGTTGGTGATTTCAATGGTTTTGTTAAGTCCTCTCAGATGACTTCTGTAGTAATTTAGGGCTATACAAGAATAACTTGTATTGTATTGTATGGCTTGAGTTACACTTGCCAAATATACAAACAATTTGTATACTTGCCTAACCATACAAATAAAATATATTCAATGATAACATTTATTTTGATGCTAAATTGGACCAAATAGAAACTTCAAAGCACTACTGCACTTATGGCTTGTGTTTTTCCTGTAATATTCCTTTTAATTATATCTTTACTCATTCATGCAGATCTGTGTAGCACTGTATCCCACAGCAAATTTCCCTTAGGACAATAAAGTTTATCTTATCTTATACAAGTCTTACCAGGTGCAAACGGGGATATAGTAGCTCCTGGCATGTTGTTGGTTGTGGGCGGTCGGCTTGAAGAAAAAGGAGGAAAGACCTCAGAAGAAGGCAAATCTTGGGATGAGGCCTGCTTCTGCCACCCAGCAGCTGAAGACGACGCTTGCATTTGCTGGTGCAAAAGGTCGTTCAGGACCTGTTTCAACCTGCCAACATGAAAAACATAAAGGTAATTACAATGTATTCAGCCATTTCAGTAAATGCTCCAAATCAATGTCCTGACCGCTGCACATTATTCTGCTGCCATGCCAGCTGCGTGTAGCACTGGTTAAGTTGGTGCATGATGAGATGGACCTGTGGCGAGGACACATTGTTGGGCAGAACACTGTACTGTCCGGTCAGCAAGGTCTGCAGCATGTAGGACAGTGTCTATGAGTGGGAAGGAGAGAGAAGACACGGAATCACTTTAAATAATAACTACATGCAGGACACAGCTGTACATTTCAACCCATCAATAATATCAATGTTAATCAAGTTAATTGATCAATGTTTTTCAAGGATATTTATCCATCAAAAAAAAAAACCTAGTTATGGGTATTATTTTTTTCTTTCTTTTTCCAAGCAAACAATGTAAACAGATTCGCATGCGTGACAATAATCGCACAGATTGGCCGTTAGAACAGGAGGAGGCAGGGCATCCACAACGTATGCAAAAAAAAACAAAAAACAACGTATTGTAAAAAAGATTAACTATTTAAACAAAAATATTTTCTGTGTGATTTTGTTAAATATCCCAGATCAAATTATTTGTTCTTTTTGCTTAGAGCCTATGCAGACAATTTAGTTCTAAATAAAATAGTATCTCTTCTCAGAAATATTTTGGTGGATAAAATACAGGCCTATTTATCTTTTAGAATATATTGTGACATTATAATATTGTGTACGGTTTGTGAAAAATGTATTGCTACTAGATACTAAATTTCTAAAGTTGACTCAATACAATTGGAAATGAGTTGGAATTGTAGTATCTGGACTTTAAAAGGTTATAACTCAAAAACTAGAATTACTTTCATAGATTGGAAGAACGATTTCAAACACAGACACATTGAAGAGATAGTGTGGAAAAAATCTAAAGGAAAGATTGACATAAAAATGTTTAGCAACATTTTAAACGACCAAATGAGCCTCTGATTGGACCATTCTACTGTGACGCCAGTTACATAGAAAATAAAATGTCCTCAGTCTGAAAAAGCAGAAGATGAAATCCCACAAGATTTACATGGTTAACACAACAGAAGGAAATCACTTGATATAAAAAGGAATCGTGAAAAAATTAAAATTAATTAATTAATTAAATGACACCTGAAAAATGTATAACGGACGTGATGAGGACGGTCCTCTTTTCTCTAAAAATTAAACTTGAGAAAAAAAAAAATCTGGGCTGTTTTCTCATTTAATTGCTTGACAATATGAAAGTATCACTTTGCATCTACTTTGTGTAAAAAAATAGAATCTCTGAATCAAATGTGGACATCTGAAAATACCTATCAAACTTCCACAAAGTTCATTCCGTCAAATCATCACGTCCGTTAGATAAAATAAACAGGGCCGCTATAGGAAACTTGTCTAATGTATAAAACAGTTATGTTCTAGCAACTTCTAATGGACAGAGGAGGTAAAATATCTTCTGATTATTAAATCTAATTTTTGGCCTTTTGTCACACTTTTGTGCCCTTTAGTGTGAACAAGCCCAAATACAAGAAAAAACAATGCATTTCAATTAAATCTTACAATAAGTCTGATGATATGACTTAAAAAAAGATTGGCCCCTACCTGTTGGTCCTGCAGCAGAGTCTGGCACATGCTGGTGCTCAGGTCCAGCTGCCTCTGGAGCTGTGCGACCTGCTCCTGCCAGTGACACGAGCCCTCGGCAAAGGAGAGGTCTGAGGCCCAGCGCAGGTTCTCCTGACGCCGCATGCTGCTCTGCTGTTGACCTGATGACTGATTCAGATTTCTACCCTGCTGCTGTTCAGTATTGGCTTTGCTGTTAAATGTCTGTTCACTATCTCCATTTGAAAAGTTCGATGGTGGTTTCAAATTGCTAGAAAAAAATAAAATATTGTAAAAGAGGTTTATTACAACAACAACAAAAATAGAATAGAGAATAATTGTGCAAATATTGTATTAGAAGACACTGACCACCCTTGATTATTTCTGTTGCTATAGGAGCGCTGGTTTCGATTGGAGTAGACATGGAAGTCCTCATCCGAGCTATCTTCTGTAGAACATTCATTCTCCTCTCGCTCCTCCACAGCCATCTCCTGATATTGATCTGCCTCATCATCATCAAGATTGCAGGGAGAGGAACCCCAAGTCGCCATTGTCCTGAAGAAGAAAGGTATTAAGTATGCTTAAGTATGCTAAGTATGTTTTCTACTTTTCAAATGTTATACCTCTCATCTCTGCTGATGGGCAGGGAGGTAGTGGTCGTGACATCCTCCTGGTCATCAGTCCTGTGCGTGGAGTCACTATTTCCACTGCGTCTCTGGTGTTCGGCCATCAGACTCTCTAGATGCTTCCTGCGTTGCCGTAGCTCCTCCCGCAGGATCTGGTGCCGACGCATTTCAGACCACAGCTAAATATAAACAGATACATATGTGAAAATACAGCAGGGTTTCTACAGTAGAAGTGACCTTACTTACCTCATTGTCTGTGACTGAGGACGTTGCAGCTTCTTGAGGAGTGGGTTTGAGACCAGAGGCATTTCTTTTGGTTGCAGGAGACTGAGAAACCAGCACAGGAGCTGGAGTGGATATAGCTATTGGAGCCTTTCTCAAAAGGCCCTGCTGACTCAGTGTGCTTGACAATGAGGACTAAAAAACAAAGAGCCAGGGTAACTTGTAAAGTACTTCTCACCAACATATGAGAAAGTACGTAAAAACAAGGAGGACATGTTAACCTGAAGGTCAGGGCAGACCCACTGCAAATCCTGGATTTTTCCTTGGATTTCCATCAGCCTCTGGCGCTCTTCATGGAGCTGCTCCAGCTCCTCTTTCTGCTGACGCAGTTTCTCCTCATACAGTTTCTCCCTTTGAAAACAAAAGCATTAGTCAAGTTAGTTTCTGGAATGAGAGGCATCAGAACTCATGTCAAGCCCCAGGTACCTGGCATGACTGGACAGAACCATGTCTCTGGGGTTCTGTTTGGCCCCAGACCCAGTAGACCTGGTGTTGTTTGGCTGCTGATGTAGAGTCTCATCCTCATTTGCTGTGGTTCCATCTGTGTCATCACTCTAAGAAGAGAGTTAACGTTTTCAGACCTCTAAAAATGTACATTATAAATATCATTTTTTTAATGTTTTTTTTATTATTATTATACTTTAGGACTCCTTTGGATAAGATAATTGGCCAACCTGAATCATTGCGACCAGTTCTTGTAGCTGTCGCAGCTTCTGTTTGGCCGTTTGCTGCTCAGCAAACACTCCATCATTGGCCAGACTGCTTCTGCGACTGGACTCCGAGGCCTCACTCTCTCCTCCGGCGGCCTGTGCCACTGTATCAAGACCATCCTCATCATCCTTTACGTGGTTGAAAGGGCTGTCCCTGTTGTACTGGCAAGCTGAATAAAAAAGACAACTTTAGTAAGTAACAAAGAAGGACTCTCAAGTTACATTTTCATTTTCATGCAATAACTCGATACTCATTTTGATTTGTCTTTGTTTTGAACATGTATCTATTGTATCTAAATTGTGAACAATTTGATCATGGTAACTAACCTATAGCAGATGGGATATTGAGGCTGCGCAGGTTGGCAGCTGACCGATTGTTAATCTCACATTCTGTGTTTAATCTCCCATCGCGGTTGTTTGCGCTCCTTGGACTGCGGCTGTTGGTCAGGCTGTTCAGATCTGACCAATTACCTCTGCGCTGAGGGTTTCTGTGTAAATTAACCCAGGGTAACATCAGAAACCACATACTAAATCCTCACAGTGACTGTAATTTGAGCTGTGTAAAACACTATTCTTATACCGTATGTTGGTAACAGACTGGCGGTTCTCCTGCTCAGAATCGAACATAGTGTCAAACATGGAACTGTCCTCAGTCTCGTCCTCCTCTTCCTCATCATCTTCTTTCACGTTGATTGCATCTACCATCATGTCAGACGTCTGCTCGTAGTACTGCACCAGCTCCCTTAACTCATTCAACCGCTTGTGCACCTCCTTCAGTTTCCTGTGGAAAAATAAAAACACTATAAATTGAAAAGATTGAAATCAACTGTCTCAATTCCTTCTAACAATAGAAAGAAGAATATTAAAGTTGGGATTATACAACGCCTACAAGTCCTTGTATACACAAGTTGTCTGTAATATGATAGGCCAGCTGCCTATTCAAACCTGCGATGCTTTGTACCTGAGCTTGTCTGTTGAATTTGAGCCGTCTTGGTGTTGTTGCTGTTGTGCGAGTGTCGGATGGAATGATGTTGAGGCTGAAGCCCCAGTAGAACACAAGGCGGAGGCACAATCTGTAGATCCTGGCAAACACTGGGATGATACACCCCGAGCTGAGACAAACAAAATAAAGTACTTCAGTTATTTTAAACAGTATTTTTGACAAAGCTGAGTAAGAAAAGAATTGTGATCACAAATACAAGACATTAGTTCCAGCATAATAATTAATTGACCACACAAATTTGTGATTGGGTATGATTTAGGGATGTAAATCGGCGACCGGTTAACCGGTGGTTGACCGTCACAGCGTTAACCGGTCAAAGCTGTCGGTTAAAAAAGAGAAAACGGGGAGAGGGGAGGTCTCTTAATAACGCTTTTTAAGCCCTATTTGCACGGTGTGACGAGCGGGTCTGTATCTAGCTGTGTGCGCCAATGTATTATAAACTCCGGGACGACTCTCACGCCGCACAAGCCACATAAGCACACACGCACGCGCGCGCAGACACACACGCACACACACTTTCCCCCTCTCCATACGTAACATCCACACGCATCATCTCTCCCCTCTGTTACCGTCAAAGTTGCACACTGGCGCGGGTCAGAACTACATTGGAGCTTACATTTACACACACACACATATACATACACACACACATACATACACACACACATACACACACACACATACCGGTCTGTCGCGCTCCTCTGTGTCACGGAGCCCAAAGGATTCGCGCAAATACGCGGCTCCAGTCAAATCACATGGAACATGTTTGTGTTTATGGTCCTCGGGATCAGCTCCACAAACATCACTTGTATTTAAACTTTTGTGAAGACCTGTGAGACGCGGCTCGTCACTCGCTGCTCTGACCATGTGAACGAGCCGTCGTTTGCTGCTAGAAAGTTTTGGTATTAACCCGCAGCACAGCAGAATGGGAAGATTAAAACAGCAGTTCTCTGTGCGCAAAGGTGCCGGAGCTGTTGCGGGTTTGGGCGCCGCTGTCTCAACTCTGATCCAGTAGAACGCTCAGCTGCACTTATGAAAAGTACGCGGCTCGAAATGGTTGTTATTTCAAAGAACGTGGACTATTTTAAACTACGCGGTTAACCGGTTTCAACCGGTTAATGAGGCTCGGTGGTCGGTCATGAAAATTCATAGTTTTTTACATCCCTAGTATGATTAATATTCCCCTAATTTTGATTTATTTCATATTTGAAATGATGATTATTTTCTTACACGAGCGATTGTTAAGTGTCTGATCTCTGAGGGAGTGCAGCTCCTGTAGGATCTTGTCCATAGTTTGTTTCTTGTCTTGCAGGTCTTGTAGCTTTGTGAATTTGGCACAGGCGGCTGTGGCTCCAGCCTCTAGTTCAGAGTGTGGCCCAGAGCCAGAGTGAAGAAGGGGTCTATGAGGTGGGCCTGCAGTTTGAGGCGAACACGACCAGCTCACCTCTCTGGATAAGGACAGGCTTTCTGCCTGACGACGGTTGTCTGGTACCGCTTTGGACTGAAGAAAAACAATAGTGTTCATACAACAAATAATAAAGGAAAGTCAATGTTTTCTATGGCCAACAGAATCTTGTACAGAGAATATATACTGTACCCGTGAGTCCTTTAGCTGGTTGTGAAAACGCTGAATCAAGTCATTCAACTCATCATTTAGTTCTGAAGTAATGCTTAAACCAGAAATGCTGCCTGTGGTTTCAGGTACAACTGCAAAAACAAACACCATCTTGTTTTGCTACATGCAGAGCTGTATGTATATTATGTGATGACAGAATCAGAAAGAATAATAATTTCATATCTACTTTTATGTAGGTGTAGTGCATCGCTCACCAGTGTCCTCAATGACAGCCAGTGCTTGCTCGGCACTGTGCTGCATCGCCATGAGAGCTTCCTGCCGACCCTGCAGGGTTCGGAGCTGCTCTTGCTGCTCCAGCATCTTCTTTAGCAGTTCATGCTGCTTACGCAAGTTCTCCAGCTCTTCCTTCTGGTCAGCTGGTCCTGCCTCTGCCATACCACCCTACAACGTGAGCGACCACATGAGAAACACTCACTATATTAGAATACATTCTGTACAGTAGCCCTAAAACAAATGTGTAAAAGCAAAACATATGAGCAAAAGTCAGCAAAAAGTCACAATAATAAAAATGATTCCCTGTTTTGTTATCCTAATAACCAAGATGAAGCATTTGTTTTGCTTATGTAATAAAATAATAATAATAAAATACTGTACATATTGTTATGGCACTTGCCAAAATGTCTACTTTGAATTGTGGAATTTATACACACCATGGCAACATCTGTAGATCGCATTTCAATGTTTAAAGAGATGCTCTCTGCCAAAGAACCTGAGCCCACAGCAGAGTCCTGGGTCCCCACTTCATCATCCTCATCGGTCCCCCGGGCCTTTACACAAAATTAGACAAAAACAGTGATGTTTAGTGTAGATGAATTACTGTCAAAATGTCAGTACAAGTTGGGCAGGATGGGATGTGTTGTGGGTGCTCTATCAGAGTACAGGATCTGGGGCACTTGACTGACAGCTGCCTGAACCCTGTGTGACCAAAGTCAGAGCTGTGTTTGCATTACTGATAAAGTGTCACACCTGTTTTGAGTAGTTTATATTCTTGGCCTGAACCAGAGCCTAGCCCAAGCCCAATCCGAATTCAGGCCTAGTTCAAGGTGCTAAATCTTTTGGGTCAAAATTGGAATGATTTTTGGAAGCCCGTTGTTTTTTGTTGGCCTCTCTAAGTGTTGCCCTTGTTTGCTGATGCTGTTGTTCAGGCAGAAGGTTGTCTGAGCATCTCTGCTCAGATTGCTGCCTCCATGACCCGGCAATTGGGCGAAGCGGTAGAAAAAGGATAGTTGGACATGCTCCAAGTTTATTTAATAATATACTTTAAAACGACTGACCAGCATCTTCTGTAGGAAACGCAAATAGGATCGCTCCTGCTCTTTAAGGTCCTCAATGAGATGAGATAGGCGCTCCACATTTGCTGGGACATCATTCTTCTTTACCAAGTCATCCAACATGGAGTTAGCTTTCGTGATGCCCTCTCGGATCTGGACCAGTTTACTAACCACCTGAAGCCACAAGCAAACATCCAGTTAGTCCAATGATGAGCAGGTAGATGTGACTACAGCTCTAACTGGTCTTAGGAAGAGCGAAAAAAAGTCACCCAGTACCAAGGGTAGCATATTTATAAATTGGCCTATATACAGCTGCACGCTCTCTCACTTTATCCTTCCTCCAAGAGTAGTCAAGGGCAATAGAAAATGTTACAATGACCGTATTTATTGTATTACATTTTTTATTTACTCAAATATAGGTTTTTTGTGTGTAGTTATGATTTTTTTTTTTATAACAGTAATTGATTTTTTCTAGAGACCAATGGGGATCCATTCATTCATTCATTCATTCATTTTCATCCCTTTATTATCCATTTCTGGGTCAGGGGGGTGGCAATCAGAGCTGCCACCCAATTCACAATGCACCAGTCCCTCGCTGATCCTCCTGCAGGTGGTGGGTCCACAGGAAGATGGCTGCTCCTTCAACACAGATACGGCCTTGATCTTTCAGCGGGGACTTCAGGCAAAGTGGGGTTAAGTGTCTTGCCCAGGGACACAACGACAGCAGACATCAGTAGGAGCAGATGACATGGGTCGTGGTGGGATCAAACCCACAACCATTAGGTCCAACGACCAATGCTCTACCAACTGAGCTACAGTCGCCTCACCAATGGGGATCCTAAATAATTAAATGTATTCCTGATTCCTGAGGTATTAATCCAAGACACCATATACTGTATATATATCTAAATCAAAAGCATTACACACCATTTATTCTCAACCTTCGAGTAGTTTTAGATAGATGATTTCTATGCCCCCCTTTGGTATTAATAATTAGAAATATTTAATATAAAGAGTTAAAAATAAACTTAAAATCATCTTGTAACACCCAGAGGATGCCATTTGAACTCCCACTTTGGAAACCACAGTTATAGAAGAATAAGGAGCCACAATTGTACAATGGTTACACATACAAGAATCGTTAGATCATGAGAAAATATTGCAATTAATAAAGATACCAACCTGACTGCGATCAATTCTTGGCGCATCTCTTTCAAAGTCCCTTATTAGATCTCTGTCGGAGCTCCTGCGCCTGGGCCGTGGAGTGTCTTTAGTTGGAAGCAGAAGGGCCAGAGTATCCCTATGTCCTGGGCTCTGTTTCTTTGTTTCCTTGGTGATGGCTGGTGTGGCTGGGGCAGACGAAGAGGGAGGGAGAAGCTCTTTTTTGTTGGTGTTAACGTGCAGAGGTAAGAAGTTATAGGGTTTCTTGTTCTCACAGGCCAACTGCCGCTGATTGTTGGCAGCTGTAACACGACCCTGAGAGTCACTTCCAATGCTTCGCTGCTGGGAGGAAAAAAAAATTATACATATAAAGGTACAAAAAGATATGTAAATAAAAATCAAGGCTAACTACTGGAATAAGTATTTTACTGCAGAGAATTGCAATGGTTACAACCCATGTTAAAGCTAAATTTGAAACCACCAAATACTGGAAATATGCGGCTCTGTCACTCCTGGTGGTTATTGTCAGATTCATTCAAATGTATAATTATTCAGCTTCATTCTGAAATTATAAACAATATGAATGCAATGTTGCATAACCCCTCTCCATCCTGTCTTGTGCAAGTACTTATTCCATGAGGTATGACTAAGATAAATAGACGAACGCACATTTGATGTGAAAAAAGGCAATAGTTTTGCTAAATTATCATTTGAATGAAAAATTACAATAGCACATGTGTGGCTGTACTAACAAAAGATTTTTTTAAAGGCTTCTAATCAAGAACATTTCTGCATTTTTTATGTTTTATAACTTCATGTTATAGATGTCTGATAGGACATTGCACAATAAAATACCTCATCCAGGTCAGTGAAATTGATCCTCTGTCGCAGCTTGTCTAGTTCTGCCTGGTCGGGGACTGACATTTGTGTAGTGTATTTGATGTGTGGAAAAGAATGAGGAGTACGGGCTCTCCTGCGTCCAGCTCCAGGAGTTGACTCTGGTGAAATATCATTGGTCAAGCGGCTTTCTACCACAGAGGCAGACAGCTTCTTCTTGTTTTTCTCTGTGGAACGGTTGGCTTTCTTTTGCTGGACACCCCAATCCTGACAAACAAATAATGAAAACTTTGACAAAACAAAAGGCATGTCGATTAGACTAATGCTCTGAGGAGCTGGCCTACTGACCATGTTGTTGAGGCATTCCAAACTGCCATTTGTTACAGTCCAGTTGTGCAGATCGTCAGTACTTCCATTAAAAGATTCCCCAGTCGCCATTCTTTACGAGTTACTGCGATAGAAAAATAATTAATATATGTATATAATGTAATATAATATACACACACAGTTAAACCCTAAATAAATCAGCGACAACCAACACACAGCAATAAAACGTGTAATATATCATACAAATAAACACAGCCCAGCAAAAACAAGATGTAGCTTAAATTGAGTTACAAAAATAATCTAAATGTTTGGCACTATCGTTTCCTTGTGATCAGGTATCTCGCGCTGGCAGTTTAGCATTTTTATGACATTGTGGTGGGAATGTTTGTGCCTTCGATTACCAGATATTTTTGAATAAATATCTGCTGTGCCACTAATGTTCTGTTGTTGGTCGTCGAACGTTTCTGTCTGATTATGTTTGAAAAAAACATCAGTGTCAAATGTTGCCCAAATCTCTGATGTATCATTATTTTCCTTGGGCATATCAAGAGTCAATGACTTTGAAAGATTAGAAAAACACATCTGCCAACTCCAACCAGAATCAAGGGTATCACATTCTTGAGCATTTCGCTTTAAAATGCAATTAAATAAAGAATACATGTCACTAACGAAAGCAATGCCCAGAAGTAGAGCTTGTTTGAATAGTTAGCTTCCCCGAGCTACCCACATTAGCTTTCTGCTCACCCAAAGCTAGCCAACTTTAAGAGCCCCGACAGTGCTGAAAACAAGAATTACATCGTCGATCGCAAATGTCTTGAGAATCACCAACGTTGTTTCTTTTTGTGTGTATTACGATGTATTGAAAGTGTCGTAAAGAGGCAGTTGCAGCTCGCTAACGTTAGCTAATTGTTCAGTTGCTTAACTGTGAACGCTATTTGTTTTGTGACATCGTGCGTGCAAGTTGAGACGGAGTTTGGCTTACCTGAATCTATGAGGATGTTTAATGTCCAGAAGAACACTCCTTTACGACTGTTTAAACCTACTCCCAATACGTTTGATTTCTATCTAGACTGGAGCCACATAGTCTAGCCACTTGCTCCAACTCTTCCAGTTACACACCACCGCCGCTACACATTCCATGGCGCTGCAGGCTTGCTGACCGGAAGTCATTTTTCAGTAGAAAGGCTTTCGTATGCCATTCGTTCGTGTTCAATAAGCTGCTGAAAGATACCCTGAACTGCATGTACAAAGTAGCTGATTTACGCTCACATTTGCACCAGTTATTTTTGAACGTAGACCCGATTTTTCAACTCACCTGAAAGCTAAGTCAGCCCTGTCGTTCTCGTTTAGCCTTAGAGCTAACACGAGCAAGCTAACGTGGCGTCGTAAACATTAGCAAGTTGAGGAAGTGTGTGTTTTAACTAAAAGTCCAGACAATGGGGTCATCAAAGAAGCACAAGGAAAAGAGCAGAGACAAGGACGCGGAGGATCGCCGTAAAGAACATAAAAAACACCGTCACAAAGATCGGGATGAGCGTGAAGCTGGTCGGGAGAAGGACAAACGCAGGCGCTCCAAGTCCCGGGAGAGAAGTGGTCGCGAAAGCCGCAAAGGTGAGCGTAGCGGGGAGCCTCGGGTCAAAAAGGAGAAGCTGGATGTTGCTTACGGAGACAGTCATGTTGAACACGAACCCAAGTCTGCGGGTGGAGATGCGTCACTTAGCATCGATGAGACCAACAAGCTCCGTGCGAAACTTGGGCTCAAGCCCCTGGACATGGGCGAAAGTAAAAAAGAAGCCGGGACCAAAGAGGATCCGATGGTGGCAGAAACTATTAACCCTATTGTCATCGCGCAGCAGAAAGACATCAGAGAGAAGCTGGCAGCCCTTAAAGAAAAACGTCTACAAAATCAAAAACTGGGGAAAGTCAAATCCTTAGCAGAGACGGACTGGCTTGATGACACTGCAGCCTGGGTTGCACAAACACGTAAAATGGAAAAAGAAAAGGAATTGGCTGAAAAACGGGCCAAACTTCTGGAAGAGATGGATCAAGAGTTTGGTGTCAGCGATCTTGTCGAGGAAGAATTCGGACACGGCAGGAAAACAGCATACTCATCTCGAGACTTAAGAGGTCTTAAAGTACAACACAAAACTGAATCCTTTTCCGAGGGTCAGACTGTCATCCTGACCCTGGAAGACAAAGGGGTCCTTGATGAAGAAGAAGACACTCTTGTAAATGTGGGACTGATTGATAAAGAAAAAGCTGATAAAAATGTGGAGCTTAAAAAGAAAAAGCCAGATTATAAACCTTACGAGGAAGAAGAGAATGTGGATGACATGATCACATTTAAAAACCGCTCTGTGCTTTCAAAGTACGATGAGGAGATAGATGGAGAAAAAAAAAAGAGTTTCCGGCTCGGTGCAGGGGGATTTGCAGATGGTGAACGAGAAAGAGAGCTTCAGGCAATGAGGGAAACCCTCCGAAGTCAGGCCCAGACTTTGGAAATGCCAGCTCTCTCCATTGCCTCTGAATACTACACTGAGCAGGAGATGGTGGGCTTCAAAAAGACCAAACGCCGCGTGAGGAAGATCAGAAAGAAGGAAAGGGCTTTAACTGATTTACTCCCAGATGACACGCGCAACACTGACTTTGGCTCCAGGGCACGTGGCAAAGGACGTAAAGAGAAAGGTGATGAGGGTAGTGAGGAAGTCAAAGTTGAAGATGATACCAGTGTGATAGTCAGTCTTCCTCAAATGTCTGATGACGTGAGAATGGCTGAGATGGAAATAAGCGACGAAGAGGACTATACTCTTCCAGAACCAGCTGTGATTGAGGAGGATGAGGCTGAGCAAGAGTTGCATAAACAACTGGAGAAGCAGAGAAAACTCAGGCAAAAACAGCTCCTCAAAGATTCCGGGGAGACGGTGGTACTGCAGCTCAAAAAGATGGAGAAAGCTGACGAAGATAATGATCCAGACAAGAAGAACAACATTGTATTCAATGCCACGTCCGAGTTTTGCAGAACTCTTGGTGATATTCCCACCTACGGGCTGTCTGGTAACAGAGAGGATCAGGAAGATATCATGGACTTTGAGCAGGAGGAGGAAAAAGAGGATGGTGGAGACTCTGATGCGGAGATGGATGAAAATGTGGGATGGAGCACAGTGAACTTGGATGAAGAGAAAAAAACACCAGATTTCGCAACTGCCTCCACCACAATTCTGGATGAGGAGCCCATAGTGAACTCTGGGCTTGCAGCTGCTTTACTTCTGTGTAAAAATAAAGGTTTGCTGGACACTCAAATGCAGAAAGTGGCTCGTGTAAAAGCACCAAAGCCCACCTTGCCCAATGAAAACTACTGCATTGAAGACAAAATAGGCTTTGATGACAAGTACAGTCGCAGGGAAGAATACAGAGGCTTCACACAAGATTTCAAAGATAAAGATGGCTATAGACCAGATGTAAAGATTGAGTATGTGGATGAGTCTGGCCGCAAGCTCACTCCAAAAGAAGCATTCCGGCAGCTATCACATCGTTTCCACGGTAAAGGTTCTGGAAAGATGAAGACTGAGAGAAGAATGAAAAAATTAGAAGAGGAGGTGTTGCTGAAGAAGATGAGCAGCAGTGATACACCTCTTGGAACTGTAGCCCTACTTCAAGAAAAGCAGAAATCACAAAAAACACCATACATTGTGCTCAGTGGAAGTGGAAAGAGTATGAATGCTAACAACATAACTAAGTGAATTCTGTAAGTGTATTAAAAACACACTTATAGTTGCTCTCAGTGATTTTAGTTGTCAACAGTGATTGGTGTGTACTGCGTAATAAAATGTGTATATTGTTCAATAAATTTGATGAATATATTTGTTGTTGAATACCTTTTATTATCTTGTCCTGCCAAAGTTGAAACCGTTTTACATATGCTGCTTATTGCACTTAAGTGATTGGGTCACCAATGAAACCACTCTTGATAGCGTTAGTATAAAAGCAATAAAAGTTTTTTTTTTTTTAATATTAAAATTTAAGGGAGGAAAAAAACCACACATTAAAAAAACCCACACATAGAAACACAGTCTATGATAGAAACGCAAGGGTGGAACCATTGATGACGGTTCCTTTTATGTGATGCACCACCTGTAAGAAGATAGCTAAGCTAATTCTAAGTTGTCATTTGAGAGGAGTAAATCACATTTATGGCTGAAGTTCTACACACAAACGGTAAGGCCTTATAAAACAGCAACACGTATTTAACTTGAACAACCTATGAAGATTAAGCTATGTGCGTTGGGTAGTTTATCCTCCGCATCTTTGACGTGACAGGCTGTTTGACAGCTTCCTGTTATTTGCTAAGCTATGCTAGCATGAAGCTTAATCACGAGACGCTGTTTTAAGTAGCTTTTGTGTTAATGCTTTCAGTCTTTGAATCGAACTAAATCAATATTTGTTACCACTCGATGTCAAAAACGCTATGGCATTTTTTAAAAACGTTACAACCATGCTTTGCCTATTTCACTCGTGTATGCTTATGTTTACCCTAGCGTTCCGATAATTGATATTCACTTTAAGCCACACTATTAAGCAAATTTGAAATTAGTAATTGAGGAATATTTAATAAAAACATAAGCTAAATCTCGTTTAATCTTACAACGACAACTTTGTTTTACATAAATTTCAAAATACTGTGGATTGCAGATAGGACTTGTGTTTGTGTTATTTTTGTAAGCTACATATGCTTTCACTTTAAATGAGAGTAAGGCACACGGTTATAAACATGTATGGTATAGAATAGATAACGTAATGCTATATTTTTACTAGATTAATGTGTACTCGCCTGCGTGTGTATTTCATCCTGGGGAGTCTGGTGTGAACCCATACAATTCATGCAATTGCTAAATCGTTGTTTTAATGACACAGGTTTACTGCTTTAACTGACAACCAGAAGATGTCAGAATCTAAGCCCCCTACTCCAACTCCAGGGGACATGTACAAAGGTTGGCTCTTCAAATGGACAAATTATATAAAAGGTTATCAGCGGAGGTGGTTTGTCCTGAGCAATGGCCTTCTGTCTTATTATCGGTAAGTCTGAACACGTTGGCGAGGTATTCCATCATATTGGATAAGAACATTGTGATGCATGTCTATATTCGATTTGTTTAATCACATTTTCACTTCTCATCCAGGACACAAGCGGAGATGGGCCACACATGCCGGGGCACCATCAATTTGGCTACTGCTAATATAGCAGTGGAAGACTCCTGTAATTTTGTCATTTCTAATGGTGGCGCACAGACATATCACTTGAAGGCCAGCTCTGAGATTGAGCGGCAACGATGGATCACTGCTCTTGAGCTCGCCAAAGCAAAAGCTGTCGGCATGCAAGCAGATTCAGGTGCAGCATTGATAGTTTAATGCTGTACATTACATCAACCACCAAAAATTAATGTAAGTGTTTTTACTTTTTCTCAGATGACTCTGGCGATGAATTTTCAATAGTGGCGCCCTCCCCTGAACAGACCGGGTTTGGTCGTAATACAGAAATTCAAACCACGCTTCGTACTCTCAACAGCAAAGTAGAGGACCTGGCTACTTGCAATGACCTTATTGTCAAGCACGGCACTGCACTTCAACGGTATAAGATCAGTAGTTGAGAATGAAATAATAAAGCCTTTGATATTAATTTCCTTATTTGACACAGGTCTTTGTCTGAACTTGAGGCCATTCGAGTTGGAGGAGAATCGACCGAAAAATTCAAACAAGTTACAGAGCGGGCTACGTTGTTCAGAATCACCTCAAATGCTATGATCAATGTAAGTTTGACAAGAAAAGAAAGCATAGAATAAAACTTTATTGATCTATGCTAACTCAATTTGAAATGCTTACTCTGCCATTTTATTTATTAAATCTTTGCACACTGTAAACCTGCTGTGACTTGGCCTCTGTCCAGGGACTAAGGATGGCAATTAGCTTGTAGTGCTATGTCCGGTCTGAACAATACATTTATATTTAACAAATGTCCCTGTCAAATAAACTAATAAATAATAGAAAATAAATAATATCTTGCAACGAACACATTTACATGTTACATTTGGAGTTATTGTATAAGTCTAAGTTAGCAAATATTTTGATTGTTACTGTATTCCACTATCATGCTTTGTTACATCTCATATCATTATATCCAAAACAAATTCTGCTAACTGTTTGTCCCAATAGAAATAGTCTTGTTTTTAAAAGCATTTTGTGAACAAATTCGACCACAACATGCTGTCTTTAATTTATATATTTTTTTATTACATACCTTGAGAGCTGATTGTCTGAGCTTGAGTTGGTACTCTCTTTCAGCACCTATGCTGAAAATGCTGAAGATGTGACAGAGACCAAAAATGCATGTATTTGTAAAAATGGAACTGCTTTGAGAGCTAGGAACTAGTTATATGAATTTTATAAATGTTATTTCCTGCTCCAACCATGAAGTATTCTTTGTCCCTCCCAAGGCTTGCCGGGACTTCCTCTCACTGGCCCAGACTCACAGCCGTCGCTGGCAGAAGGCGATACAAACCGAGAGGGATCAGAAGATCCGGTTAGAGGAGACATTGGAGCAGCTCGCCAAACAGCACAACCACCTGGAGAGGGCTTTCAGAGGAGCCACAGTCCTGCCCAACTCGTGCAGCAACCCCTCATTGACTGCCAAAAGTAAATCCATACATTTACCTTTCAAGATACGAGTATAACTGCGTGTATAAATAACTTTTTTTTTTATTACATATTATTACAGACTCTTCATCTGGTAAAGCAGATGTCAGCGATGAAGAAGATGACAACAATGAATTTTTTGATGCAATGGAGGAGTTTATTACTGTTCCAGCTGATCCAAAATATCACAAGTTAATAAAGCAGAGTTATGTACTTAAAATGGTTGGCTTCAGATGCCTTTTATTTAGAAAGTTACTTTTTTTTTCAGGAGATCGAGCAGCAATGTCAGTGGAATCAGCTGTGAAACTGGAATGGATGACCAATCAGTAAATGTATGTTTACTGATACACATTTCTAAGTGTCTGTAAGTGTTGTTACATCTTTTTTCCCCTCAATTTCATTCCAGTTTGATGAGCTGTCCCTCGCATCAAATCCAGACTCTCCACAATCACAGGGGATGGTGCTTCGACAAAGACGCACACGGATCCCAGACAAGCCCAATTATTACCTGAATTTGTGGAGTATTATGAAGAACTGTATTGGGAAGGAGCTCTCAAAGATACCAATGCCTGTAAGGAATAGTGTTTAGATGAATAGTGTTAAAGCAGCATTTATTCCTTTGTGTCTACTATATCTCATGTCGCTTCTGCTTGTAGGTAAATTTTAATGAACCTTTGTCTATGCTGCAACGTCTGTCTGAAGATCTGGAATATTATGAGCTGCTGGACAGAGCAGCAAAGTGTCACAGCTCTTTAGAGCAGATGTGTTATGTGGCTGCTTTCACAGTGTCCTCATATTCCACCACTGTCCTCCGCACAGGAAAACCTTTTAATCCTCTGCTGGGAGAGACCTTTGAGCTGGACAGACTCCAAGAGAGTGGCTACCGCTCTCTGTGTGAACAAGTATAACAAAGCACCATATAAATTCTTTCTTTTGTACAAGGTATGCAAACATGATTCAAATTCTAGTCAATTGTTGTTTTGTTGTTCAGGTGAGCCACCATCCACCAGCTGCAGCACACCACGCTTTCTCTGAAAAGGGCTGGACCCTGAGACAAGAAATTACTTTAGCCAGCAAGTTTAGAGGGAAATATCTCTCTATCATGCCTTTGGGTGAGTGGTCAAGGTTACACTATCCTGAACATAACAGATTATTGTGGTGTATGGTTGGTTTTACTTGAAGCCCCAACATGAATAGTTACAAAAATTGTGCTGGGGGTCTAGAAAGAAAACTAACCATCATAACTTGAACATTTCTAGGTGCAATTGAGTGTATATTTGACAAAAGTAAAAATCATTACTCCTGGAAAAAGGTGACTACAACAGTACACAACATAATTGTTGGGAAGCTTTGGATTGACCAGGTTGGTAGTGTCCCATACCGTACAACATGGTACAACCACAACTGTCATTAACATGTCTTCATGTATTTTAGTCGGGTGAGATTGATGTGGTGAACCACAAGACTGGAGACCGTTGCCATCTCAAGTTCACACCCTACAGTTACTTTTCCAGAGACTTGCCTAGAAAAGTAGGATTGGTTGCTTTTGTTGGCACACACAATCTCACATGATTGACATCACACTAATTACTCTAATAAATCCTTTTTTACTCCCAGGTTACAGGAGTGGTCACGGATAAAGAGGGTAAAGCCCACTATGTTCTATCAGGGACCTGGGATGAGAAGATGGAGCTCAGTAAGGTGATGCAGAGTAGCATAGGAGAAAATGGAACAGAAGGCAAACAGAGACCTGTTTACCAAACACTCAAACCCAAAGAGATCTGGAGAAAAAATCCATTACCGTAAGTTATACACAGTTTACATGGATACCCCAGACACTTTGTGATCATACTGTGTTGACAGTGATGGAGCGGAGAATATGTATTTCTTCTCATCACTTGCATTGACTCTGAATGAGCCGGAGGAGGGCGTAGCACCTACAGACAGCCGGCGACGCCCAGACCAGAGGCTCATGGAGGACGGCCGATGGGACGAGGCCAATGCAGAGAAGCAGAGGCTCGAGGAGAAACAGCGCACAACACGCAAGGAGAGAGAGCGAGAGGCCGTGAAGGCAGCCAACACTCCTGAGGAGGGTGAGTTAAGAGTTCCATTGTTCCATAAGCACATTCATCACTCTCTGCACATTATGGAGGTGTCTCTTTCATCATTTAGTTCTCACAAATGACTCTGATTATGACTCGCCTCTGAAAAGCAAGTACTCTTCCCTCTCCCAATCCTCAGTTGGTCCAAAGTTACCATACTCATTACTATTTACTAGAATGGTTGAGCAGTCGAGTAGAAAAGTTCAAAAGGCGTGTTATATACTGTAGTATATTTTGTGATAGACTAGGCTCTAATAAAAATTAATAATCTTTTTTACATCCCTTCATTTGTCTGTTCAATCAGCTGATGCAGTGGAGCCAGGCACTCAACCAAGTGAGGTTTCTGATGAAAGCAAGTATAATTTCTGCTTTGTGGCATTAATCAACACTAATACCCAGCCAGTTTAAGAATGTTAACAGGAGATTTTAGATTGGTGTGTTTTCAGCATACAAAGCTACACATGTGCACACAAACACTTGTTTATGTTGGGTGGAGGGTGACACTGTTTGTGCTGGTGTGCAGCTGACGCTGAGGACTCTCCCCCTCTCACACCTGTTGCATGCAAGTAGCCCCTCACATTTCATATTTGCTATCCATCATGTAGAACTAGATCACTCTTGTAACAGGAGTTTCATGTTTCATTTCCCCCAGCCCCATACGGACCAACACCTTTGTCTAACCTAAGCAAGTATCCCAGTCATTTCATGACTTACATTATAGACACTTTTTATGCTTATTTTGTGTTCTTATTTTCTCCTCACATCATTTTAACACAGTGGAAGGCAAGGAAGGCCCGCCTGGAGTACATGTTAAAAGCAAGTATTGTAGGGGTATAGACTAGCAATAATAGAGATGTAGAATTGCTCCTTACCCTGTGTCATCTAGACAAATCAGATGTCACGTTCTGTCTGAGGAGGCTGAAGCTTATATTATATTCCAATAGTACTGTATGTGAGCGGTTTGGTCTTCAAAACATTCTTCCTCAAAGACATACACACTGGCTTGTAGTCTAGTTGTAACTTGCATGTAATTTGTATTTTAAACGTACTTCATGGTTTCTGTTTTTAGGTTCTCACACAGACAACTACCAAGCACTGTGGTTTGAGAAAACTACTGACCCTGTGTCTGGAGAGACCTTGCACGTCTACAAAGGAGGCTACTGGGAAAGCAAGGATCAGGGCAGCTGGGACATGTGCCCAGACATCTTCTAACAGTCTGTGGAGCATGGTGAAAAAGGTGCAGGTGTTCTTCTTCAAAAAGATAACTATCTCTCTTCTTACTGTGTTCTGTTGTCTTCCAGCTGAAACAGGCTCAGTGACTACACTGAACTACAATAAATGCAGCACTTTTGTTTTTGCTCCCATTTTTCATGGGTCAACCTGAAATGATAAAACTTCGTGTATAGTATATGCTCAATGGACCCATATTAGTCTTTATGATTTTAATGGGACATTGTGTATTAATGAACAACTCACTGTGTGAGACAAATTGTATCACACCAGATACTGACCTCTTTATTCTGACTCCCAATGAAGCTAAACATGAACATCTTTGGATGGCATTTTTTGTGGTTATTTAATGGATGCTCCTTGATATTCCGCACTTGTGAGGTGGGATGGATGTTCTCGGCAAACCTATATTATAGTTTGACCTCACAAAAATGGAAGAGAAAAAAAGGTGCTGCTGTTCAGTATGGAATCTGGACCAGACTATCAACAAAAAAGGTCTTGTCATTTCTAATTTCAGCCTAGTGTTATTATAATATTATTATATTATAGCTCACAGTGTGAATATAGGTATAGTCACACTGTAGAAATACAGAGTGGTGTAATGTTTCTTTTGTTCCTCAAACTATCTTGATCTAGCCTGATTTTGAGTCTTATACAAACATTTCAGTGAATTTAGCCTGACCTGTTCCTTGTGATTCTACACATAAGCATACTTTTTCCTGTGAAGTTATTATCAGATAAAAAGCTTTTTCCTTTTCACTTTCATTTGGAGCTGCTTCTATTATTGTGTGAAGGTCAGTAAGCTTTGAGGAGAAGTCTTCCTGCTTTCCTGTGAGTATTTTATAGCTTTAATCAACATGTTTTTCTTTTATTCTGCACTTTTCTAACAGCAATAAGAGTGCCTCTGTGATTATATGTGGCATAATGTTGAGTGTAAGCAGAAGTAAAACAATGTAATGTGCTTTTGTCCATCTTACCCATTGTCCTCAGCCAGAAACAACTGAATGGGTTCATTTTCAAAACTATTTCATTTGACATCCTCAAGTGTACTTATAGAACACTGACACAAAATGTTGACATATTTGTGTAAATATGTGACATACTACTGCATTTTTAAATCACCAGTGGGAAACAGATTTTATGCACTGTTTTTTTTTTACTAAAATAACACGTATTAAAATAGATTGTATTTAATTTAAGATAACAATTATGTCATTATTGCCTCTGTTACACCAAGTCAGTTTTGTTTGACTTTGTATTAGTGGGTTTTCTGTGTGACATTTGTGTGTGTGGGAGTGAGTGTGTGGGTGTAGTTACTGCTGATCTAATCAGTTTATTCCCTGTGCTTCACTGCGGGGCAGTGCAGCTTGAGTTCAATATTCAGGCCTTGCCTTTTACACAATGAAAATTAGTGAATAGTTCAAGTCAAGATATAAAATAATTTGTGTAAATCAGATGTTTCTAATATAAATGTTCAGTCAGGGTCAACTAATGAATTTTACTTTGCACTAAGTCATTCCTGTTTTGTCTTTTTAAAGCAGTGTTTTAGTAGCGTTCTATTGAAATTAAAGTCTGTGAAAAATGCATTCAGTGTCTGTCATCTTTAGGCAACACACAGTGTGAATGTGGTTCGTTACCTGCATGATTCCACGGATATGGATGCATCTACTTAGATAGGTTATATATACATGTCATACCCATGGCTGGACTGGGACAAAAAAACGGCCCGGGCATTTTTTCCTTCTTACCGGCCCAGGCATGTTTTTGTCACGTTTTTTACAGTTTGTTTACCAGGGATCGGCAACTCAAAAGGTTCAAAGAGCCATATTTGACAAAAAAAACTAAAAACATCTGTCCGGAGCCGCAAAAAAATAACAGCCTTGTATAAAGCTTATATGAAGGTTACACAATGTAGCTACATTAGCCTAATATCTAAATGGCCAAGTAAAGGCTACAAATACATAATAAGCATTCATGATTATCAAATGTGTGTTTTCACTGCAGCGTGTCCTGGAGAGAATGACACACCACGTGATGACTCTGCTTTAACTTTGACTTCCATTTTTTTGCCTTCATGCAACTGTAGAAATACAGTAAATAAATCTGCTTTTTGGCTCAAAGGTCACACACCTGCACTGTCCACTCATATCGATTACGTCACAGGCTGAAGTTTGCTGGAGCTGAATGTCCTTAATGGCCTTTTCTTTCACAGTCTTTGCGGAGGTTTTTGAAGTCTGAAAAAGGTGCTCCGGATTTTGTATGAAAGAATCCTTCACGTAATCCCTGTGAACGGTATTTAGTGCTTCATTGTTCCTCGTGTTGCAACAAAACTTCCTATTACATCGCAAACATGAAGCAGTCTTTCCTCATTGACTAAAAGCAAATGTTCAGTCTTGTCCTTAGTCCAGTCTTATTATCGACTCTTTCTCTTTTTATCTTTGGGATCCGTGCGCACACGCCAGTTTGTTTACAGCGGCGGCCGCCTGGCGCGGGGCTGCGTTACAGGATATGACGCACTACGTTGACAGAAATGTTGAAATTGAATATTACTTATACACATTTTTACAGCATTGAAATACGTTAGGAGTGTTTTTCCTCCTACCACATTCAAACTAGAAATAAAATATAGCCCTCCCACTCCATTTTCAGACATTTTTGAAAAAGCACTCAAGGAGTGCCGACCCCTGGTTTATACAGTATGTGGAAGCATACTGCATGCAGCATCAGGATGTCTACAGTTTCAACAATAAAACAAAGTGCAATAGTCTACATTACAAGAGAGTAATAAACATGTCTCAGAGTGAGGGAGGTGGACACAGACATGAGAATTGGTCAAAAAAGACTGAAATGCATAATGTCAGCCATTGGCTGGCTCTAAATCTGCTTAATTTGTTCACAACATTTTACTTTTGGGCTCAAACATGAACTTTTAATGCAATGGAAAATTTAGGTACCCGAGCTTTAATTTTGTCGCACTTCGAGAGGAGAGGGGAGACGCGGACTGTTTCCTGCAGCGATGTATTTATTGGGTGCACAAATTACGCAAAGACACGCATGGTCCTGTGCGCGTTTATGGTCTTGGGTACATGGTCACGTTGCGGCTACGCGCTCACCGTGTTGTGTTGTGAGCGGCTCCCGGTGAGCGGCTCCCGCGTCCAGCTCAGAGCCGCTGGATGCGGGAACACTGCGGCCGCTGAGGTGGTGGAATCCCGTTCGAGTACATACAGCAGGTGCCCCGTGGACACGCGCGCCCCCTCGAACAGTTCTTAACGGATTTACACTTTACACTAACATTTTTTTTGTATGAGGCAAACAGACCGGCCCAAATATGGGCATCGGCCCTTCTGGCATTGCCCGGTACGCCCGATGGCCAGTCCAGCCTTGGTCATACCCATGGATCTATTATAATAACGGGTCATACCACTTATTTTATGCATTGCTGAGTGTGGTCGTGGGGAGGCGCAACTGAGTCAAAGCGGCGCATCTCTGACCCGACTGTGACGTCATCAGCATCTTTGTTTACTGAGACCGCACACCGCTATAGCTAATATCGACTAGCTTCCGTCCTCTCTGTGCGTGGTTTCACCGTGTGTTTGTGTGCGTTTCGGCTCTTAAACCCAACCATGTCGGCCAATGGACGAGGAGACGACTGCACTGACGCCCGGAAAGACGACACGAAACAGTGAGTGGTTCTCAAGCTAACTCCTATTGTCCTGACCGTAGTGTGTGGTGCCGATGATCTCTGTTTAGGCTTGTTTTTTTCTTTGATCTTGTTGGTCTGCTGTACTGTTACTTACAGTTAACTGATCCGTGCATTTTCTCTCTACAATAATAACGGTGTGTTCTGTGTCTGTGTGCCCTGGAGATAAATGAGTATTGTGTTATTGCAGATCCCCCGGAGGCTCGTCTTCTGCTGGCCCTGGTCCTTCAGAGGTGGATGCTAAGCCTGGCTCCTCCAGCTTCAGGTACAGCCTGGACTATCCCAGCATCGGACAGTGTATCATCATCAACAACAAGAATTTTGACAGGAGGACAGGTAAGCGACTGAGCAATATAGGCTATTTGATGTACTACAACACAAATAGCCATGAGATCAAGTTAAGTGAGGGCAACTTAAGTCAAGGTACATCAGAGAACACACAGGTATACATATTTTGTATCCAGTACTGCTATCTTGCTATCAGCCATTCAATCTATCTGGCATCTAACAATTTACAACAACAACAAAACAAAAAAATACAACTACTAATTCTAGTAATACAATAGAACGCGACACAATGACAATTTGCATACAAGGAAAAAGTCCCAAATTTTCTGTGCAATTTAGTCACTAACTCTAAACACAATATTATAATGGATATATTGTGGTGTGTGAGTAGCATGTGTTTCTGTGGTGTGATGAAATGCTGAGTTGGCACTGACTGGTCAGAATAGCTTTGACATGCCAGATGAAGACTTTGAAAAGTAGTAATGGATCCGTAAAATGTTGGTTCTAGTATGGTGGTGTTCTATTATTCATTGGTCCATTAATGTTCAGGTTTCCATCATATATTAAGGGGACCCTTAAACTAGGCATTTTTGTTTGTGTATTTTGCTGCTATTGAAATCCTGAGATGAACAAATGAAGCTTTGTCAAAAAAGGTTGACTTGGCTGTACCTATTTTGTGTCCAAACAATGGCAAGTGCGGTAAACATGGCCACTGATTACCGTGAGGTGTCAACGCCTGATCTGAGTTGATGCGTGAAGGAAGTATTCAGCATGACTTGGAGCATGTTTTAAACCACATGCCACAAGACTATTTCACAAGTTCCCCTCGAGCTGTGAGCCAGAAGTTAAGTGAGTGTGACATCCCTTGGTTCGCAGAGATGATCTTTGTGTTTGTGCGGCGAATGCAAACCGAAGTGTCCTGTAATGTCACCGTCATAAGAAAGGAGATGCTTTGTGTTGAGAAGCTGAAGGAATGCTTTGAAAGACTGACCTGTAATGTAGTTTCAAAATGTATGTTATGACTGGAATGTTTCACAGTATGGAATTGTTTTTATGAGCAGCCTCGCTTCTTTGCAAATGTTATATGACAATTTCCCCACTCCCACTGACTCCCACTGATGTCTGCTGTCGTTGTGTCCTTGGCCAAGACACTTAACCCCACTTTGCCTGGAGCCCCCACTGAAAGATCTCAGCTCCTGTGGACTCACCACCTGCAGGTGAGGGGCTGGTGCTAAGTGTACTGGGTGCAGCTCTGACTGCCATCCCCCAACCCAGAAATGGATTAAGGGGAAGAAAATGGATGGATGGATGGAATTTCCCTTGTGGCCCCTCATACTAAATATATCATTTTATTTTATTTTAAAGTTTAATTCAATTATATATACACATATTTTAATAAGATAAAACAATTTAAATAACACTTTTTACAATGCAATTGCACAACAGGATTTTAAATGTACACATTCAACTCTGATACTACTTCCATTCCATTCCTTTACTCATTGTGTAGGATCAATCAACAAAACATTTTCTATATTATTCATTTTAAGCCAGATAGAGCAAATCAGTCCACCAATAATAAATGCATAAACCACAATTTGTCATCACAACAGTAGTGTGTTATGCTTAAATAACGTTTTTTATTGAGGCTTTCTGAGACCTGTTGCTAGAATGTGGTAGCCTGTATAACATCTGACTAAATATCACTAGTAATGTGAGGACACAAGTTGTGCAGTTCAAAAGGAGGCTAATGAGTTGAGACATTTCAGAGTTAGTAAGTTTAGCTTCATGTGTCTGTTTATGGTGAAGAGGCTTTTTGGCAGCGAATTCTTTAAGACCTAATCATAACCTAAAACTGGTTCACAGCCTAATGGTGAAAAGACAGGTGGCACGGATTTTAAAAGTATGTTTATTGTGAGATGAAACCTAAAAGTACTGTCTGATATTGTATTTACAAGTAAATGTGTGTGTATGTTTACAGTATTCATTTTGGTCCAGCACAGAATTATTGTGTGGTGTCACTTACACTGGACCGACCACATTAAACCTGAATTTACCCCAAACCAAAACCAAACTGCCTTCTCGCAACAGGCCGCTGATCCTGAAAACATGTGATTATTAGTGTTTTTGTCGTAGGCATGAACCAGAGAAATGGCACAGACGTGGATGCTGCCAACGCAATGAAAGTTTTCTCAAAGCTGGGCTATAAAGTGAAGATCTACAACGACCAGTCAGTGGAGCAGATGAAGCAGGTGCTAACATCTGGTAAGTCCTTGTTTTTGAAGAGGTTTGTGATTTAAACTGATTATTAGTAATGATTATGTTATTTTGAATCAGCTTGTACCAGCTCCAGAAGATAGTTGTGAACACATATCATGTTCTACAATCTATGCTTTATGATATTTGCTGATGCCATTATCAAGTATTTAAGCACTTACTGATCTATTCAAACTGGCTTTTAAACTTTTAACACTCATTAGCGCTGCTTTTCAAACTTATTTTTGGGTTGCATGAATGTGTTAATGAATTTTATGTCATTTTATTGTAAAGCGGTTTGGCCACCTTGAGTGTTGTAAAGGGCTCTACAAATAAAAATTGATTTATTGATTTAAAACCCATCAAGTCCTGTCCTTAACTTACATGCAACTATATTTTTAGCCACGCTTCTCCCAGATAACATTTTTAAGCTTGTGCAAGCCAAGGGTGTTTTAAGAGACCAGGCTGGCTGAGAAAAAAAAAACGTATCAGCAAAGTTGTTTTTGCAAGGTATGGAAAAATCATTCTTTCAATTAGTGCAATCAACACATCACCCTTTGATAATATACACTACACATACTTGTACTTGTCGTGCAGTATTGTCCTTCTGACAAACTTGCATCTCTTTCTGAGAAAACGTGAGAGTAATGTCTGTTCTGATGCCGTTTTTCCAGTTTCGAAGGAGGACCACAGCAGTGCAGCCTCATTCATCTGCGTGCTCTTGAGTCACGGCGACGAGGGCGTGTTTTTTGGCACAGACGGCTCAGTAGAGCTGAAATTCCTCACGTCGCTGTTCAGAGGAGATCGCTGCAGGACTCTGGTGGGAAAACCCAAGCTCTTTTTCATCCAGGTGTGTGCAGGTTTCTCATCACTACCATTTGGATACACGCTCAACAAGTGTATAAACGCAACGCTTTTGTTTTTGCTCCCAATTATTCATGAGCTAATATTTCATCCTATCATTCATGCTGTCTAATTAGAATACTGATATGTAAGGTAGGAAGTAATTTGTGCATTTCACACATACCAAGATCACACAAAGCGCTTAACAATTGTACCGGTAATTCAGATTCCCTTCTGACACAATGATGGCAGAAGCGAGAAACCTAACAACACTACTATTGCCACTGTTTCTTAAATTGCCATCCTGAACAGACTATTTTTTTTACATGTTTGCACATTTCTGTCTTTTGCAAAAATCTTAGTGATTCTATCCATGCCAAATGTGACATGTAAATTTCTCCTGTGTGAGATCAACAAAGTCTATCTTATCTTAACACACCGGTGCATCGAAGCCTCCGACCATCTCCATCCTTCCCTCACTCATTACATTCAGACCTATTGCACATGTTCGTGATAGGGGTGAAAACTTCACTCAAAAAGGCGCCCATGCCGCCCAAACATCTGCGAGTTGGAATGGATTATCTCGGGAAAAGAGAAGTGCTGATTTGTACAGATTTGCGTTTTAGATCTTTCAATTTAGCTTATTTAAAATGGGGGCAATATGAGAACAGTGTTTTCACATTTGCGTTGTGTGCAGGGCTGGACTGGCCATCGGGCGTACCGGGCAATGCCCGAAGGGCCGATGCCCATATTTGGGCCAGTCTGTCTGCCACATACAAAAAACATGTTTGTGAAAAGTGTAAATCCGTTGAGAAATGTTTGAGGGGAGCGCGCGTGTCCGCGGGGCACCTGCTGTATGTATTTGAACGGGATTCCACCACCTCAGCGGCCGCAGTGTTCCCGCATCCAGCGGCTCTGAGCTGGACGCAGGAACCGCTCACCGGGAGCCGCTCACAACACAACACGGTGAGCGCGTAGCCGCAACGTGACCATGTACCCAAGACCATAAACGCGCACAGGACCATGCATGTCTTTTCGTAATTTGTGCACCCAATAAATACACCGCTGCAGAAAACAGTCTGCGTCTCCGATCTCCTCTAAATTAAAGCTCGGGTACCTAAATTTTCCATTGCATTAAAAGTTCATGTTTGAGCCCAAAAGTAAAATGATGTGAACAGATTAAACAGATTTAGAGCCAGCCAATGGCTGACAATATGCATTTCAGAATTTTTTTACCAATTCTCATCCCTGTAACAAACAATATTGTCTGTGCCCACCTCCCTCACTCTGAGACATGTTTATTACTCTGTTTGATGTAGACTATTGTACTGTATTTTATTGTTGAAACTGGAGAGATCCTGATCCTCTACAGTATTTGCTTCCACATACTGTATAAACCAGGGGTCGGCAACCTTTAGTGCCCCTAAAGTGGCTCCTGGAGCCTTTTCAAAAATGTCTGAAAATGGAGTGTGAGGGCTATATTTTATTTCTAGTTTCAATGTGGTTTATGTAGGATGAAAAACATTCTTAACGGTTTTCAATGCTGCAAAAACTTGTATGGGTAATATTCAATTTTAACTGTGTGTGCGCATGGATCCCAAAGATAAAGAGAGTCGATAAGACTGGACTAAGAATGAGAATGAACATTTGCTTTCAGTCAATGAGGAAGGACTGCTTTATGTTTGCGATGTAATGAAAAGTTTTGTTGCAACAGGAGGAACAATGAAGCTTTAAACACGTTCACTGAAAGATTCATTCATCATAAAGTCAAAGCACCTATTTTCAGACTTCAAAAACCTTCGCAAAGACGGTGAAAGAAAAGGCCATTAAGGACATTCAGCTTCAGCAAACTTCAGCCTGTGATGTGATGGATATGAACAGACAGTGATGCAGGTGAACTCGGAGCCAAAAACAGATTTATTTACTGTATTTGTACAATTGCAAGAAGGTTAAACTTAAAGCAGAGTTGTCACGTGGTGCATCATTCTCTCCAGGACACGCTGCAATGAAAATACACATTTGATAATCATGAATGGTTTTTATGTGTTTAGCCTTTGTCATTTAGATATTAGTCTAAAATAGCTAATGTAGCTAATACAGCTTCAGCCCCTGTTACCTTCATATAAGTCTTATACAACGCTGTTTTTTTTTTTGTTTTTTTTGTCAAATAGGGCTCCTTGAACCTTTTGAGTTGCCTGGGCCGCTAAAAAGGAAAAAATGCCCGGGCCGTTTTTTTGTCCCAGTCCAGCCCTGGTTGTGTGTGTGTGTGTGTGTAGTTATTCTGTGCTGTGTTGTCTCGCTCAGGCCTGCAGGGGGACCGATCTGGACGCAGGCATTGAAACGGATAGTGCAGAGGATGAAACCACTCGCATCCCGGTGGAGGCGGACTTCCTGTACGCCTTCTCCACAGCTCCTGGTCAGTTTCTCACACACTTGTTTTGTCCTCATTTTTGTTGTTTTTATTACACACAAAGATATTAAAAGTGTGTCTGAATGGGCTTGCATCTCCACAAACCCAATGCGTACTTTCCATGTAAATGTCCTTTGGCCGTAATCCCTTGAAAAAGAGGTTCTTAATCTCAATAAGACTTTCCTTAAATAAAAATGTAAAAAAAAAAACAGTATGGCATAAAAGCGCTCATGTTTCAAAGTATTGTTTTAACTTTCTATTTTTCATTTGTATGTTGTCGTGCAGGTGATGAACCAACTCTCAAGAGATCTGCGTATTGTAGTGAAACAAAAATATACATATCAATAAAGTAATAATTCAAATATCAAAACATAATATAAGCTTTACTGACCATGCCCAAAACTTAATGCTGAAAATTATTATTATTAACGCAGCAGGTTTTACTCTTTACTAAGTACTAACAAATATGCTACATTCTGACAAATCAGAACAAGCCATAACAAGTTTAAGTCTTAATTAATTAAATCCATCAGTGCTCATAATTCTTGGTAATGATGTTTATCCCTTCCCTCACAGGTTACTACTCCTGGAGGAACACCATGACGGGCTCCTGGTTCATGCAGTCGCTGTGTGACATGGTCGGTAAATATGGAAGCGAGCTCGAGCTACTCCACATCATGACCCGTGTCAACTTCAAGGTGGCCGTGGAGTTTGAGTCCATCTCCAACTCTCCCGGCTTCAATGCAAAGAAGCAGATCCCCTGCATCGTATCCATGCTAACCAAGGAGATGTACTTCAGCCCTTGATTACGGCAAACCTGCTGTATTTCTGAGCCATTCTAAGCCTTTGTGATGCTTCATTGTGCCCAGGGGAAATATTTAGTTGTTTTTTTTTAAATGGGGTGCTCTATGTAATTTTTCTCATTTGCCGAACCCTCACCCTGACATTCAGCTCCAAGAATAAAAACAAGTGTAGCCATCTGTGTAGGGCTGTAACAAGTCAATCAATTCATCGCAACTAATATATTATTGAAATATTTGTCAACTAATTCTAGTAATGGAATTATTATATTTGACTAACAGTTTCAAGCATGCTGTGAAGTCTTATGACTCAGAGCTGTAAACACTCCCAACTATAATGAAAATTGATAATTACACATAACATTTTATAATAACTCTTCTATAAGATTATTAAATCTATACAAGACTCTTCACAGGCTTGTTAATTACAACCTTCGGTCTGTGCTCTGACCACAAAACCAGGAAATAAGAGAATACTTTGAAAATGTCTTTAGTTATAGAATGCTGAATAAATAAATACTTTGCAACATATACCAGTACATGTATGGTCCATACATGGTCCAATCTCAGGTCTACATGACAAATGATACTTTATTTGAACAAATTTTGATTTAATTTATTTGTTATTGATTTTAGTAGTGTGTTCAGGGCTCCGCCTTTTGTTTGTTTCACACCAAATCTATGAAAAACTGGTTAATTTGGATAATGTTGGTGTCAAAATCTATCTTGAAAATAAAATACAACATAACATCAGTGTAGACAACTATGTACACTGTACTAATGACTCCCATGGATGGGAGTATTGGTCACTCCCCATAATACATTAAATTTACCATTAAAGACCCTCAATGAGAAAAATGGCATAATGCAGCTCCAAAGCTTACCAAGTGTACTCTTGCAATGTTTTCCATGGTGCATATTTGACTATTGTTAATGACTTTGTAATAGATCACTGTTTTTAGTCAGACTTGCTGTTTACACACATGTTCAAGGACAAATGCATAAGCCAGCATTCTAGGATACAAGACCACTGTTCACAACCAGTCTGGTCCCCTGTGTGCCTTTGCTTACATCTGTGTGTAACTTTGAAAATAATTTTATTTATATGTTTACAGTTCATTCTTAAGTTTGTTTGTGGTATAAATTTACATATTTGACTTCAGGTCATGCTCAGGTTTTCTGTGTGTAGCTGTTTTTAAAAATATTTCTAGAAACACATTGATGAGCACATAGTGTAAGAGTTCTGCACTTTTGTATTTTTGAGTATCTGTGGAAATGTGTAACTCAAATTTGCATAAGTATTGGTGCAGTGTAACGTACAAGAAAGTTGGGGATTTTTATCTAATGCTCTAAATTGACAATCTGTTTTTCAAATCACTGTTTTCAAATTATGGCAACTTTGTACACAATAGTTATCTTGGAAACCTTGTTTCTTTGCTAAATAAATGCCACTATTCATGCATGTGTGCATGTTTTTTTTCTTAGTAGACATGTTTAAGATGTTAGAAAAATTATAATATTTCTGGGGTCGGCGTTATGGCAAAATACGATGCGTATATACTCTGTGTGACCGCTGGGTGGCGTCAAAGACCAAGTTTACAAGGTGTATTTATATTTTGTCGTCTTGAAGTTTTGAGTTAGGTTAGCTATTTGTCAGTGTTGAGTAAATTACTTAAGGGATTACAACTAACAAATACATTACTTTTTTTTCTCATTCTTAAACTATTTCATCCGTAAAAGCATGCATTTATTACTAACGTTTAATTAACGTTTAGGAAGCGGTAAATAACTAATATTCCACTGGGTGAAAACTAACATATCCAACAATAGAAACAGCTCCACGTCACTGCTGCTTCTGCAGAGTTCCTGTCTGTGGGGTTGTCACTTTGGGAAATGGATATATCCGTCAGAATGCTCCAATGCTTGTGAGATGTTTGGTGTCTGCGCCACTATAACACATTGGAATTGCTTGTTATTTTTGTAGTAACTATCGGTAATCAAAGTATTGTCAAAGTAATGCATCACACCACTTAAAGTAATTAAATGCAATCTGATTATAGTAACTAAGTATGTGTAACTAACTAACTTCCACCTTGCACCGTTTTTTATTATAAAGACGCCGGAGCAGCGCTTGAACGCACCGCGCGCCAAGTCCTCGCCTCTTTTCTTTCTTCTGCCGCTGAAAATAGGTCTCTGGTTAATTCGCTTTGACAACAGGGGCCAGGAAAACACACACCACTACACACAGCTCAGTCAGCGCGGGTCAGGTTGCAACACTCTTCCTTCTTTTCCACCATACACCTGCTATTCTCTCATCGCTCCACACGCTTGCGCTCCATCACGGCGTTTACGCACGGGGACTTTGCACAAAACCAAATCAATGAGTGAATTTGTGGTAAAGTTTTCCACGCTGCCACAATGGAAAAGTTCTTACAAGTTGCCCCGCATTCCCTCGCCCTGGTTTTGGGTCGGAGGAGAGTGGAGGAGGAGAGCCCGGAGGAGCATCACCGACGACAACAACAACAACTCCAGCAGCCCCAACGCGGCGGCTATGAGGTGTTCGCCAACTTTAAAGAGGTCAACATGCAGCATTTCTGGAATAGTGCGCTGACATACGCGCTGACAGAGGTCTTCTTCCTCGGATGGATCCATGAGCGGGTGCTTTTGATCCAGGGAGAAGAGGCCAACCTGGAAGTGCTCCGCAGCGGATGGATGAGGCGGACCCTCGCGCCTCCACGGGGCTTTGAGATCAAGTGCATAGGTGGGTAATAAATAATACTTGTCATAGTGACAATTGTTTACTTTTCTTTTTTAATTTGTTTTATTTCTGTACTTTTAATATTGTTTTATGTCTGTACTTGTCTTGTGCACACTGGGAACGTTTGCTAATGTATTCCAATGTGGTTTTACTGCAAATGGCGAATAAATGAATCTTAATCTACTGTGCCAATTTGAACAATGGCATCCAGACTCGGGACGGAACATGGTGAGGATTTCCAATACGTTTCACACAATTGTGGAAAGTTGAAAATAACTGTGGCATACTTAAAGCTGGGGTACCCAACTTTTCATAATTAATGTGTTATTAAATATGTGAGAAAAAATACTCTTGTCAAAGTAACATCAACTCTGTCTGCATCATATTAGAAAACATGTACTATCTTGTGCAAACTGGTATCTTTGAGTCAATTAGATCCTTTGGGCTCAGACTTGATTGCCTGAGTGAGGGTGGTCCTCTCTTTTAAACTTTTCAATCTGAAAAAGTTTGTCAAAAGATCTGACAGAGGCACAAATATATGCATATGAAAACCATTGTTGTGGTTTGCCAGTTAGGTACCCCAGCTTTAACCTTTACACCCCATCAAAAAGGTGTAATGTGTACATTTTCTAATTGAGGGTCCATCACCTGCTTGTGTTATGTTGCCTTGTCTGGAATGTTCCTCTCTTTGGCCTCTTCCCTTTATTTAAATAGTGGGCTATCATGCATGGCTATAATAGGCCTACTACTATTTACTGTGGCGGTGTCCAAACCATTTGGTAAGAAAGACGTTTTAGAGCAGACTTGTCCACGAGCCGAAAAAAAACAGGTTGTAAAACTGTTTTGACTGGATTCAAGTAACTTTAAAATGCGCATATAGACGCTGAAGTTGGCTGAATGACAAATGTTTTGGCTGAGATGTCTGTACTTGTTTATTTATTGAATTGTGAGTTGCCTGAATCCCAGTAAACTTATACATGTTTACAAGTTTTGTTCAATTGCGGTAAACTTTGGCAACATGACATTATGAAGATTTATCCGCGTTTTAAGGATTACTGTTGTATATATCATTGTAGGTTAAACTAATAGCTGACATAGTGAGCAATGATCCAACGCTTGGTGAAATTCTGTTTCACATTGATATGAATGTGAGGATTTACTTTTACTTTGGCTGTGAATGTCCTTTAATTCCATTGTATTTACAAGAAATACATTTCAAAGCTACAGTTGGAAAAGTAGAAGCTTTATTATTATATTTTTCTTCTGACTCCTCTCTTAGCTCCAGGGCAAACCAGGTCAGAACGGTCCACTCAAGCTATAAATATTTATAGTAGCAACAAAAGTGTCCTGAGCACTAACAAAGAACACAGACACATTATTTGTTGAGACCATTATTATTATTCTTTTTATATCACGTTTTTGTATGTGATAATGATCAGAACCCTTGATTGAGTCTAATGGCAGTTGCATGGTTTGCATACACCATAGCAACGTCTTTTACCAGGCAGGCATTGGCACAGTTTGTCAAACCAATGAAGTCATATACTAATTCTGTTACTGTACCCTTTTGCATGAGAAAAAAACATTTTACCTGCTTGATATTTGTTCTATGTGTCGACAAAAATGACAGTTTAAAGAGTGATTCTTAACGAAATATGCAATGGTGCATACTATTAATGCTTATTTTCAAGCTAATCATCCAATCAGAGGAGATTGAGGCCCCATTTGGGTTGCCAGTTTGTTAAAAATTTCACATATTCAGATAGATTAATATTATATACAGATATGGCCACTTTTTCATTTACTTTTTTGTCTTTGGATATTTTTGGATAATTCGTTGAGAGGCATTTTGGCGCAAAATAAAACACACTGCTTGTCAACTCCTGAAATGTCAGAACATTGTTGGAATCTGTTTACTGTGTCTAAGGAAGAAGGGGGCAATTTTCAATACAGACAACTCATTTCTTTTGATCCATCATTTTAGATTAATGTTGCAATTTCAACAGCTCAAAATATATAATCACAATCTTCCGCCGGTGTCACAGATGACTACATACTGAGCAAAGCACGATCTGTCTGCTTTCATCTAACCTGGAGGTAGTTTAGAAAAACAGGTTGTGTCCTCAGCCTACAGTACTCATCTGAGGGCTGTAATTCAGAACTGGGCAGGTTTGGGCAACTTCACAAGCACCATCAGTACGTTTGAATTTTTATTTAGAATTTAGATTACAGTAATTACAGTAATAATAATAATGCATTGTACTTATATAGCACTTATTTGTACTGTATCTAAAGGACAAATAAGAAACAAACTAAAAAGCTTAAATAAACAGTTAAGTGTTGGCAGCTTTGAACAGGTGTGTCAGAGCAGTGATTTGAAGTTCTGTAGTGAGTTCCTGATGGGTAGTGGGAGAGAATTAATACTCGCCGTATTATAAGCCACTATTTTTTCTCAAGTTCCTTTAACCTTGCGGCTTGTGTAGGGAGGCGGCTAACGTATGTAGTGTTATCATAGAGCCTCCCTTGGGTGCAGGAAGTGCTTGGACACAGGTGTTAGGAAATACAGTGTACTTGTTTTATGTGATTAGGGCTATCGTCTATGCAGAGTTATTACTTTTTTACTTGCATCAAGCTTTAGTTGGAATGTTATTGTCAAATAGATTAAAAAACACCTCATCGTTAAATCATGTGACCAGTTAAAACAATTATCTGTGGTCTAATCTTTTTGCTCCATCAACTGTTGGTTGAGCCCTACATCACAACATGGACATGAAAACTTGCGGCCTAAATGTGGACACTGTGGACACAAATTTGTTTTTATTTTTTATATTCAGGCTTGCCTAACAGTCCAACAAGTATTGTATTTATTATTTCAAACTGATACAATATATTTTCACACATCAACATAAACACAACACAAATACACAGTACAAGCACAAGGACTGGATGAAGGAAAAAAATGTAATTGTCTCTGTATCCTTTCCTTCCCATTTGACACAAACCAATACCATAGTGCATACAACTACAATGGTATGAGACAAAACAAGACAACACACACACACACGTACACCCTCAGACAAGACAAAGGCCCAAACACTCTCTGACCCTATGTGGCGGTAGGCCCTCGTATCCACCGGCAGCCTATTAAGTGCCACCTGAACCCTTTAAGAGGAGGGATTCCCACGTGCCGCCCCCCTCTTGGTCGCCTCTGACGTCACCCGCCGTTTTGGAGCTGAGCACGGAGCACGAGGAGTGGAGCCTTGTCCCACGATCATTAGTGGCACGGTTTTAAGATAACAACATTGTTTTGATACTTTGATCCAGAGCGCGTCTTGACTATCGTTGCGTGCTGTGGCGCATGGCACGCGCACAAGGCTCCGCTCCATTTGTTTACATCTGCGGCCCATGCTACATGCTCTGCATACGCAAAAGCTTCGGTAAGCCACCTCGTCTCTAAATTAATTATGATTTTGTATAAACGTCCTCTAATTTTCCGCTGTCTCTAGTACGGGGCGTCAAGTGACTTTTACGCACGAGCTAAAGTAGGGTAATTCCCCTCTCGTGCGGTGCCTGTTTAAAAGAAACTTCTGGTAAGCATTCTAACTCTTAAAACGAAATCAAATGTATATATATTAGCTCATTTTTTTATATTTTTCATAGCGTGGCACTCGGGATATAGCTACCTTTTTGATTGCCATCTGTGAGCGTGGCGCACTGTTTACGCGTTGGTAGGTATTTCTGTGCTTTGCCCTCTTGTGCTGCGTATGGCTCTGAACATTCCTGCAGGATATTAATTTCCCAAATTCCATGTTTAGGACTGGAAACCTCGCGGGTCTCTCCTCCTCCCCCTTCGAACCCCATTTGCGTGGTCCCTCCACGTTTCCCATTTGTCTTAAAGAACAGCAGCAACCACCGGTTCATCCAGTGGCTAAAGACTGTAGCGCAATTGCGCGGCGGATCCGCGCGCACCATCGGGTAGGGCCTTCGGGCACATGAACATTGTGGGGCTGCCGTGTTGAGGATATGCTTGTAACAATTATTGTGTCAAATGGGTATTTTTAATCAGTTTCAGTGAGCTGCTTACTGAGCTTTGTTAAATGTATTGATGCACCTGTTGCTTTTACTTTTCTATATTTATAAATAAACTTTGTACATTTTCTATATTTTTGGTCTACTGGTCCACTCTATCCCTTATTTGCGCGAGCCTTATGTGTTTAAGTGTCCCTGGCACTACTCTATTCCAGGGTGGCGTTGTTGGAAGTAACCTTTTGAGTCAAATTAGTAAATCTGCCCCTCCGGTCATTACAGTTTTGGCGTTGCTGGCAGGATACGATTGAGTGGGACCAAGACCTATAGAACTTGTACGAGGCCACAATATTTTGACTAGAACACAGACTGTAGTGCATTTAGCTCATTGTGAGTGCTGCTATTCTCGGAACTAAGGGCGCCTAAGGCATATGGTTTAAAGGTCAATTTTTTTTATGCATGTAATGTTTGCTTTTGGATTGCAGTGTTTGCTTTCATTTTGCATGTTTTGCTGTGTCTATTCTCAAATGTGATTGTTTTTCATTTGTTTGTACCTTCTAACTACCAATCAACTTTATTTGTATGGCGCCTTTCCAACACAAGGCCACTCAAAGCGCCTCACAACCCACATAATATCACACAAATCAGAGACATCAATAAATACATTAAAAACAGAATAAAATCACAAATAATGGAAAAAAAAAAAAAAAAAAAAAAACTTAAAATATTAACTCATTGACTGCCATTGACGTGTTAACACGTCAAACTAAATAGTAACGTTGTCTGCCAATGACGTGTTAATACGTCAATTGCGTTTCCCGCTATTTTTACGTTCCCAGCTGTCCATTGAATCTAATATGTGGAGATTGGCTTGAGGCAATACTTTATGGAGCCAGCAGATGGCAGCATTGCGCTATGAATGGTTTGAACACAGCTAGATGCACTGTTTGTGGCCCTTTTTTCTCAGCTTTCTGGTGATTTCAATAAAACTTCCCTCTACTCAACTGGGGATTACAGAAGAACTAAACAAGATAGAAACAAAATTCTTTTTGCTGGTGAGAGTAGACAGCCCATTCTTTCAGAATCTAGTTTTAGATTTCAGATAGTCAAAGTACACAATATTCTGTGGGTCTTGAAAAATCAGTAAAAACCACCAGAAACGGCTGGCAATATGGGAGTACCTGTTTTGAAATGGGCTGGCAGTCAAAGCACACACGGGATTAAAATAATAAATAACCACAATGCATAAAAAAAAAGAGTATGTATCAATAAAATCCTTCAGCCGTATGCACAGCTAAAAAGAACAGTTTTTAGCCCTGATTTAAAAATTGCCAGAGTAGATGCTAGCCTCACATCTTCAGGAAGATTGTTCCAGATTTTAGCTCCATAAATCTCAAACGCTGCCTCCCCATGTTTAGTTCTGACTCTTGGAACCAGTAAGAGGCTACCTCCTGTGCTCCTCAGAGTCCGGGTCGGTTCATATGGGACTAACAAGTCGCTTAAGTACCCTGGTGCGAGGCCATGGAGAGACTTGTACACAAGCAGTGCTGCTTTGAAGTCTATTCTCTGAGCCACAGGAAGCCAGTGCAGAGACCTGAGAACTGGACTAATGTGGTCATATTTCCTGGTCCTGGTCAGGACTCGAGCTGCAGCATTTTGGACATACTGCAGTTGTTTTACAACCTGTTTGGAGAGACCTGTGAGCAGGCCATTGCAGTAGTCTAACCTACTGGAGACAAATGCATGGATGAGAATCTCCAGATCTGATTTAGACACTATGTTTCTAATTTTGGCAATGTTTTTCAGATGGTAAAATGCTGCTGATGTTACTGATTTAATATGACTGTTAAAATTTAAGTCTGAGTCCATTATAACTCCTAGGTTTCTGACCTTGCCTACAGGTTCCAGGGAGAGAGACTGGAGGTGACGAATAACGCTCTCTCTTTGTTTCTGAGAACCAAAGACAATCAATTCTGTTTTGTCTGCGTTTAGCTGAAGGAAGTTATTTTGCATCCAATCACTAATCTGTTGAGTACAGTGAAGGAGTGATTCCACTGGTCCATGTTCTCCTGCAGTAAGTGAGACATAAATTTGAGTGTCATCAGCGTAATTGTGGTAGGATACATTGTTGGAGCGTATTAACTGACCTAACGGCAGCATGTAAATATTGAACAGGAGAGGCCCCAGAATTGATCCCTGTGGCACTCCGCAGGTCAGAGCCATATGATCTGAGACACAGTTTCCTATCTGAACCAAGTATTTCCTGTCTTCTAGGTAAGACCTAAACCAACTTAGGGCAGTCCCAGTGACACCCACCCAGTGCTCTAGTCTCTGCATGAGGATCTCGTGGTCGACTGTATCGAACGCAGCACTCAGATCCAACATTACTAAAACTGTGACTTTTCCTGTGTTGGTGTTAAGTCGGATGTCATTTGTAACCTTCACTAGTGCAGTCTCAGTGCTGTGATTGGCTCTAAAGCCGGACTGGAGCGCATCAAACGAACTATTAGTTACTAAGAATTCTGTAAGTTGTTGGTAAGCAACTTTTTCCAGAATTTTTCCCATAAACGGCAGATTTGAAATGGGGCGATAATTCTTAAGAACTGTGGCATCTAGACTCCTCTTTTTTAGGAGGGGTCTGATGACTGCCGTTTTCAGGGCCATTGGAAATGTTCCAGATGAGAAAGACATGTTCACTATTTGTGTGAGCAAAGGTAAAAGACTGCTCAAAACAGACTTAAAAAATTTAGTGGGTAGTACATCCAGGCTACATGTGGAGGAACTAAGGCTAGAGACAACATCTTGGACAGTTTCATTATCTGTTGGTGCAAAGTGCGATAGCTCAAACAGCCTCACCGGCTGTTGTAATGTTATTTCTGCCTTGGAGGTGATGGCGTTTTTGATGCTCTGAACCTTGTCATTGAAAAATTGTGCAAACTCATTACATTTAGATTCTGAAGCAAATTCGAATGGCAGCTGAACAGGGGGGTTTGTTAATCCGTTAACTGTTGAAAACATAAGTCGTAGATTATTATTGCAGCCATCAATGGTTTTAGAAAAATAAATTTCTCTTGTTCTACGTAGCACCCTGTTAAACTTGCACAACTCATTTTTGAAGATATCATGATCAACCTGGAGATTGGATTTTCGCCACTTCCGCTCGGCCCTACGGCACTCTCTCTTCTGTACCATGACTGAGTCCATTTTAGTCCAGGGGGCCTTTGGCTTATTTGTAATCATTTTAACCTTCACAGGAGCGATGATGTCCAGAACATTTATAACATTGGCGGTGACAGAGTTAAACAATTCGTCAACAGTAGAACACAATGTGTTCTCAAAGTTTATCATTCCCATGAATAGTTCGGTTGTGTTTTCATTTATGTGTCTGTGTCTGACAATTGCAGATTCAGATATATATGGTTGTTTACTATCAAAACACATGTCAAAAAATACACAGAAGTGATCTGACAGAGCCACGTCAACCACATTTACATTTAAAATATTAACCCCCTTTGTAACAAGCAGGTCTAGAGTGTGCCCTTTGCTGTGGGTGGGGCCACTCACGTGCTGAGTGAGACCAAATGTTTCAAGTACAGAACTCAGCTCTTTTGCATTTTTGTCATTGCCATTATCCACATGAATATTAAAATCACCTGTAATCACTAAACTATCAAAATCGGTGCAAACAACTGAAAGCAACTCAGTGAAATTATCAAAGAAATTGTGACAAGACTGCGGTGGCTTGTACAGGACAATGATAAGAATAGAAGGAGATTGTTTTTGTTCTATTTTAAAAAAAAATATACTCAAATGATAGAAAATTTCCAAGGAGAATTCTATGAGAGATAATACGATCTCTAAATAATGCAGCAATGCCTCCCCCCCTTTTATTTTCTCGTATTTCAGATTCAAATTTGAAGTTTGGTGGCGTTGCTTCTATTAAAACCGCATTACCTGTACTCTGGTCGAGCCAAGTTTCAGTCAGAAACATAAAATCAAGATCATAAGAACGGATAAAATTATTAATTAAAAATGATTTGTTGCACAGTGATCTGACATTAAGCATAGCAATTTTAAAATTAATATCAGTAACAGTGGGTTTAGTTAATTGATTTTTACAAGGAGCAGGAATTAGATTTGAATGTCTAACTGCTGTCCTTCTGTTATGATTTTGTTTTCCATTCAAATAAAAACATTTTTTGAAACTGATGCGAGGAACACACACAGTTTCTATTTGTCTAACATGTGAACTCTTTTGCTGTGTAAGTCCCGGATTCAGGACGGCATTGCTTCGTTGTTTAGAGCAGGAGGCAGCACGGTTCAGAGGCGAGACTGTTATTTCACTGCCAGACGGAAAGGGGTCAGTGTTTGCACCACAGTACTCACCCGGTGCTGGTGAGCAGGAGAAGAA